GGGCCGTAGACAGGCGGAGAAGGCGGCGGTGGGGGAGGCATGGGCTTGTGGTCAAGAGAGGGAAGACCGAGGAGGCGAAGGGCGGACATCGGTGACAACTCCTGGTACTGCTGCTTCGCGCCGACACTAGAACCTCTATCTGCACCACGACTACCTCCAGGAAGCTCCACGCCAACACCTCCAGAAGGAGAACCCTCTCTAGCACTGGTGCCACCCCCAGGACCGCCGTGACGAGTCACGATAGTAACCCCAGGACTAGCACCCCCAAAACCAGCACCCTTAGAACAAGAACCCTCACCAGCACCGGTGGAACCCCCAAGACCGACGGGACAAGCCACGACAGTACCCCGAGGACTAGAATTCTCCTCAACGCCCGCTCCCCCAAAGCTCGCGGACCCCTGCGGCTTGGTGTACGATAGGGTGATGCCCCCCGCACAACAGAACTGGCCAAGCCGACCGGAGGCGAACTCGCCACCACGGTCGAAGTGGAGACGCAGCACAGGGAGGCCGCGGTGGACCCGCGCAGCTACGACCCACAGGATACGAGCGTCAAACATGTCAGCCTTACGCTCCAGGGAACACACCGTGGTATAGCGCGTGTTGTCTTCGACAAGCACTAGAAAGTAGCGCTCTCGACGCGGCCCAGTGACGGGGGTTGGGCCCTAGACGTCCACGTGCAGGGTTTGGAGTGGCGCAGTGGTAGGGGGAAGTGAGGAGAAGTAAGGAGCATGGTGCAGCCGACCCTCAACACAGGGCGTGCACGGCGGGAGACCTATAGTAAGACAAGACGCAGGGAGACCTATAGTAAGACAAGACAATGCTGGGACATGTGACGCAGATGGGGGAGAGCGGGGTGACCTAAGTGGTGGTGCCACAGCAGCGATGGGTGGGTGAGCAATCAACACGAGTAAGCCACAGCAACATGGGAGGGCGCGGCGACCTTGGGGGACGCTCCCACCGGGGGGAACGCGGTGCCTAGGGTGAACAGGCCAGATACCGGGTCCCACGGCAACGTGGTGAGAGGGGCACCAGTGGCAGCCTCGGTACAGACTAAGTACCGCTCGTGTCCAGAAAATGTAGTGGTGACGCCAAGGTCCTAAAGACAACCGACACCAACTAGGTTCCTGGAGAACGAGGGGATGTGCAAGCCTGTAAGGGAGCCCGAGGGAACCGCCGGAAAGGGAAGGGTAGAGGAGCTACGTGCAACTATCGGACCTAAGGGGGGGGCAGCAAGTGCTACAGCGGCAGGGGCGGCAAGCGGCGTGAGCGCAGTGTGGTCGCAAAAGAAGCACGCGGACGCACCAGAGTCTAGCGTGAAAGAGAGTGCGGCAGTAGCGTCCGCAGTCAGAGGAGCTAGAGTGGAAGCGAGGCTAAACAAGGCAGGTGGTCCTACACCTGACATAGTAGGGGAACCTAGGCTATACACAGTGAACACATCTACACTAGGCAACACAAGGTAAAAGGTTCCAATCACATTAGAGTCATCGGTATACATGACATACATAGCAAACCTAATCTGATCCATATCCAGCTCAAAGACAAGCAGACGACGACGCACTAGGCTGTACCAGTCGGGGGGGTCCACGCGAGGCCAAAGCAAAGACGGAAGAGGTCGTTGAGGCGGTGGTAGCAGCGGGCGGCGGTGTGACCAGGATGGTCGCAGACGGTGCCGCGGTGGGGGCCGGACTAAAGCTGGTACTGGCAGGTGACCACACTGGAGCCGTCATCGGACACCGAGCTGCACGACCCACCACCACGACCACCAACCACCAGCGCCGTCAGGCCACCACGGCGGCGGGGGTCCCCATGGCTGCTGCTATTGCTAAAGTTGCTGCTGCTGCTGCTGCTACTGCTTCGGGGCATCAGCCCCAGTCCCCTCATTTGCACCACTGTCCCCGCCGCCACCCCCACCACCCCCGCCAACCTTCCCTCCGCCACGCCCCCCCTTGGGGTGTCGGCTCTTACCCTGACGCGGCTGCAATGAGGCGGCGGCGACGGTCTCAGCAGCAGGGGCTATCTCAGCGACAGCAGGTGAAGCGTCAGAATAACTGCACTAGAAGGGAGCACAGCTTTGGAAGTTAGGGACCGCCGCAGTACCACTAGGCTGGGCGATGGTGCGCTGGCGGGTCTTTATTGCGGACAGGGCGGTCTCAAAGGCGATAAGGGTGAGGTCACCTTGGTGGTGACTAAGGAAGTGGTCGCGGGCAGTGGCAAGGCAGTCAGGGAGGCGTGTGGCAATGAGGTAAAGGGTAGCGCAAAGCGGCGGCGGGAGTGCGGAGAGCTGTGCCTCTGTGGTAGCAGCCCCGTAGCTGGTCTCAAGTGCGCAAAGATGAGTGGCAAGGTCAACGACAATAGGGAAGGAAGGAAGATCAGGGAATAGCATGGGAAGGATCAGGCGGCCGGCAGAGGCGGAGGAGGGATTGGAACGGCGCGCAATGACCGCATCTAAGTATTCCTTCACATTTGCTATAACGAAAAAGCGGGGACGCTCGGACAGGGGAGGGCGTGACTAATAGCAAGCTGTGCGACAGCGTCGCGTGACTCCCAGGCAGCGTGGGCAAGCTCAGCAGCGGCAAAGGCCTTACGCTCAGCGGACATGGGGGCGTCAGGGAGGGCAGCAGGCGCGTCGGGGCAGGGGAGCTTACTGTTGGCATGGACGGCTAGGGAGTAGCTTTCCTAGCGCTGACCTGTCAGCTGGCGGCGGAGGTTTGATGAGCCATGCCTCAAAATCAACCGCTCGACCCTTCGCGTCCAGGCGGAGCACAGAGTTTGCCATCACCACGGCTGCAGCAGCTGACAGTCGCTGGAGGGGGGAGGAAAACAACGGAGGGCAGTGAAGAGCGATGTAGAGCGGAAGAGAGCGGTGGAGTGCGGTGGAGAGCGGTGGAGACAGTTGGCGGGAGCGCCATCTCAGAGGGGAGCCAAGGCCGGCAGGTCGGGGCGGCAGAGCGGCTCGGCGCCTTAGCAACACAGCGTCACGGCGGCATTGCAGCTCGGTGGTGCGGTGGCTCAGCGGCGCGACGGCTCGGCGACTCGGCGACGCGGGGCTGACGCTGGCTGGGGCCGGCGGAGCTGGGGGCCGGCGAGCAAGGGGCCAGCAAGCTAGGGGCCGGCGAGCTAGGGGCCGGCGAGCGCGGGGCCAGCGAGCATGGGGCCGACGAGCAAGGGGCCGACAAGCACGGGGCCAGCGAGCGCGGGGCCAGCAAGCGCGGGGCTAGCGAGCGCGGGGCAGGCGAGCGCGGGGCTGGCGAGCGCGGGGCCAGCGAGTGTGGGACTGGCGGGCGCTGGGCTAGCGAGAGAGGGGCCGGCGAACTCGAGGCGAGCGGGCGCTGGGCTGGCGAGCGTGGGGCCAAGGAGTGGGGACTGGCGAGCAGGGGCCAACGCGCGGGGCCAACGGGTTGGCAAGAGGCCGGCGAGCTAGGGCCGATGGGCGCTAGGCTACGGGCGGCCGGCGGCGACGGGCGGCTGGTGTTTACGGGCGGCCAGTGGCTACAGGCGGCTGGCGGTTACGAGGCACGAGGCGACGGGCGGCCGGCGGCGGTGAGCGGCGAACGTCTAGCAGAGGCGGCTAGCGACGGGCGGCTAGGACTAGAACTACGACTAGAGCGGAAATGCGGGTGGGCGGGAAGGACCTAACCTAGCGCATGATACCCTAGTACAATCCCTCTGCGCATGCTGTAGCTGAGAACCCTGCTACTGCATAATACTAGACATATATTACTCAGCATGTGTATGATCATGTTTACTCAACATGAACATTTCTAGGGACCCTGATGGATCAGGGAATTTTTTTTGCAGAGGCCTGAAAAATCAGGAGACCAAGGTGGGGAGGACCCTGAGCTATCAGGGTGCCTGTAAACGAATCTGAGGCCCTGCTCATGAGACTCTCCATTTAGGGTGGCTTGATGAGGGAGGGCTATTCTAGACGGCAGAATAGCACATACATACCATACTGCTGCTGCTGGGGCAGTGCACAGCTCAAACTCAGGGCAGTGACTGTCACCTCCACCACCTTCGACCCCTCCTCACCCTCCACTTGCACTGCCACGTCTAGTTCCGCCTATCGAGTGACCCGCTGGGGTTATCCTTGAGAAGTTCCTCGGGGAAGGGCCACAGGTGCAGAGCCTGGGGGGCTATGGGCGCACTGACCTGCTATTAACAAGCCCTTTTAACTCAGTGGTTAATGGCTGCATTTCTGACACAGTATCAGAGAGTTGGTGACTCGGGTTCAATTCCCAGTGCTAGCGCTGCAGAGGCGCTCGTGTCTTCCACCTATCCCAGCGCGATGATGTGTCGCGTGACCCGCTGGGGTTACCCTTGAGAAGACCCTCGGGGAAGGGCCACAGGTGCAGAGCCTGGGGGGCTAAGGGCGCACTAGCACGCTATTAACAAGCCCTTTTAACTCTGTAGTTAGTGGCCGAGTTTCTGACACCGCCCTCACCTCCCCGGCGAAATGGTTGATGCATTCAGCGTGTAAAATCCATCTGTGACGTTCGTGACACAGGGTGCCTTGGGAATTCCTGTTAGCAGCTTCACCTGAATACCTTCGTTATGCCGAACACTCTCGTCCAGCCTTTCGCGGCTATATTATTCAAAATAGCACAGCTCTTTTTCTTAAAATGTTTGTGAAGCGTATAATGAAGCGTATTGACGACTGCTCTTCCCTGCTGAAGGGATGGCGCGAAAGGCGGCCCTGACGACCTCCGTGGTCGTCAGGCGTGTTACGATTGGTGGAGATCACCAAACCAGCAGTCCAATCGGCATTGTAGCCCCTGCGCGAAATTTGAATGACGGACTTCGCCAAACCTGTAAGCGCACCTGACGGTTTCGTCTTCGGCTTTGACGATCGCAAACCGTCAGGGAGGGGAGGGAAAGCCAAGAGAGGTGAATCGTGATGGAAGACAAGTCCAAGGCTTGGACAGGACTGCAAGACCCCAAAGGATCGTCGTCAAACCCAAGGGGTGGTCGGACACCAAACCCAGGAGACACCCAGCTGGCAACAAATTTGGACTCAGGATTTCCTTCCCTCCGCCCCACAAGTCAACACACGTGCCAAGCCCACCACCCACTAGCAGCTCCCAAAAATGAAGTTCAGGTGATAAGTTCTAGAAGGTTCACGACTTACGGCAGGCCATGTGCGGTCTAAGCTTAGACTTTTCTCGTCTCGCGTTATCCATCGAGCTATAGCAATGAGAGGTGTCAAACTTCCTCGCCGCTTAGGAGGCTCGTTAGCTAGTTTAGGGTCCGTACGCTTCTCCCGGTGGCATTGGCTGAAAATTGTTCTGCTCGTAGTCGCGGCATTCAATGTCGACGCCAAGAAACATAACGTCCCGACGGGCGCCTCCCCAGAAGAAGGTTTGTGATTCCCTACCGCGTTCTGACACCCTCGCTGAGTCGTTCAGTGTGTTTTAGGGCTCGTAGGCACAAGGTCATCATCAGCTAACTCGGTCTCCCTCCTTCGCTCATTCTTGCCATGCTCTTCCTCTAGCTTAGCCTAGCTCAGTCTCGCTTCACTTCTCCATGCCCGTGACTCGCTTCACCCGCCATCGCTCCCCATCCCACCCAATCTTCCCCGGTGTTTTGTCGCAGCAAACGCGCTTCTCGCGTTCAAGGACCACCTGTACAGCCAACGGTCCTTAGAATCATGGGACCTAGTGAAGCAGCCGAACTACTGCGCGTGGGATGGCGTTAAATGCTCGGACGAGGGATACGTCAAGATTCTGTGAGAGAACCGCACCGCCTAGCCTAGTACATCTGTCGAGCTCAGCCCTAAGACCGCTTCCTGCCATGATCCCCTCCTGGGCTCGGAACTTGCGTGCTGTCTTCATCTCGTCGCCACCCATTTCGTTTCATCACCCTTCATTATTTACCCTACCCCCTGGGTCGCAAGCAACCCGCTCCCATCCTCTTGCCCAGTGACCCCATTCCTCGTCTCGTCTCGATCCCGCGATTCTTCCCCGCTCCTGTCCCGCAGGAGCTTGAAGCAGATGGGGCTGGTGGGTAACATTTCGCCGGCGCTCGCGAGGCTGTCTCGCCTCAAGTCCATCAACCTGCACCGCAACTACCTCTTCGGCCCCATCCCCGCCGAGCTCGCAGGGATGAAGTCCTTGCGCCAAGTGTGCGTTCCTCGGAACCCCGTATCATTTGAAACACGACGTATTAGGTTTCGTTTGCGCTTTCTAATTTCGTTGTTTCGCATGACATTGGCAGTCGCCTTCCTCATTTCACCTGCTCCTCTCACACATCTCACGCTCTCCCTCCTCTACGCTCTCCACCTTGTGTACTCTTTTCGAAACCAACCAGCCATCCCCACTCTTCACCTCCTTACGTTCCCGTCCCTCCCTCTTGTGCCATCCGTGCGTGTGTGTGCGTGCTCTCACATCTCCGTGGATGTGCATTGCGCGGGCCTCTGCATTGTCGCAGAAAGCTAAGCATGAACAGACTAACAGGCACGCTTCCTGCCGCCTTTGGCCGAAGCAGCCTCTCAACTCTGTGAGTGCTCCCCGTTCTCAACCCATCGTTCCACCCCAACAACAGCTTGTGACTTGTCAATCATCTCCAACCACCACAACCCCCTCCACCTGTCTTCTCTCCACTCCGCACTCTCACCTCTCGTCTCCCCTCTGCCAGTTGAGTTGCGGCAGCAGGCTAACCTAGCTCTGACCTGCCTGTCCCGTGGCCGCTTGTGGCTGCAGGGTGCTCTTCAACAATAACCTCACAGGGCCCATCCCAGACACCTTCGCCAACGCCATTCGAGTCAAGCAAATGTACGTCCTTGGCCTCTTTAACTTATGTGGTATATTGCTCCCCGCTGTTGCTCACATTGGCCTCCCTGCTATTCTGCTGTCTGATGCCGCAAGGCCATGCGCCCAACAACTTGAAGCAGCCTTTCTCCTCCATCAATGCCTCTGCCGCTTCCAGTCACGTACCCACTGCCACGTCCCTCTCCCCTGCCGTCCCCCATCAACAGTCGGCTGGGCTTCAACGACATGACTGGCCCCATTCCCACCTACCTGGGCGACTTCACCAACCTCTCAGTCATCTCGCTGCCGGGGAACGGCTTCTCGGGGTCCATCCCCTCGCAGCTGGGCAGGCTCTCCACGCTCCTGGGGCTCACTCTCGACCGCAACCCGCTTTCTGGCGGCATTCCCGACGCGCTCTTCAACTGCCACTCCCTCCGCAACATGTCAGGGTTTCTAGGCCCCTCCCCCCCCCTCCCCCTTTCACCCTCAAACCCAGCCATTCCCTGACTCCGCTCATTCTTGGCGCCTGCGTGCCCCGCTATCTCTCCTCGTCCTTGCTTTCTCCGCCCTTTAGCGACAGCCTAGGCCTTCCCCATCACGCCTTCAACATCATCACGTTCCCCTTGCCCCACTCCACCCCACGCCAGAACCGTGAACGGGCTGCCAGGCGCCATCTCCCCCTCCATCAGCGCGCCCGCGGGCCTTCCGTCCCAACCTATCCTGTCCCAGCACATCTTCCAATCATCCCGCCCCCTTCACCCCCATCCCTGCCTTCCTTGACAGCACGTTGAACCAGACGGGCCTGTCGGGCACCATCTCGCCGGCCATCAGCGCGCTCACGGACCTCGCCCTGCTAGACCTGGGGGGCAACGCCTTCTCCGGCTCCATCCCCTCCGAACTGGGCAGCCTGAAAAAGCTGCGCCTGCTCGACCTGCATGGGAACAATTTTACGGGCACCTTACCGGACACGATAGGGCAGCTGACGAACCTCACCCTGCTGGACTTGAGCTTTCTGCCGGGGGTGAATAGCAGCGTGCCGGCGTCCCTGTTTGGCCTTTCCTTGCTGAAAAGAGTGTAAGTCATCCAGTTGCTGAACTGTCAGTCCCATTCATTGTCCACATGTGCTGCACTGAAACCGAGCGCTTGGCACACGCATATTGTCTAACCTTGCATGCCTTTTTGTCTTACCTCTTCTCTGGGGTTGCTGGCGTCTGTGTTGGCCCCGACGCAACAGGGATTTCACCAACAGCAGCTTCTACGGCCCGCTGCCCAACGGCCTCATTGCCGCTCTGCCGGCTGAGGCGTTCTTCAACCTCTCCAATAACTACTTCTCGGGGGCTGTCACTCCAGCTCTCATGACTCGCATCCAGGCCAACAGGTGCGTCTGCACTTGTCGCCTGCTACCTTGTCGTCTGCTACAGCCGTCGTATCCCGTTAGCCATCATACCCACCCCTATGCTCTTCGCCATAGGCTGACTACAGTGGGTCTACCATACGCCATGTGTTCCCTGCGTCCCTAAACCCTAAAAAACATGCAGGGGCAGGACTGGCTGTCGCCTCTTCCACCCCATAACCCCCCATCCCTTGCCCCCATTCTAAGCTCGCTCGCCTCCACACTGCACGGGAGCTGTACGTCGCCCAGCCCTTCATCTGAAACTTGGGTCCCGTCTCCCCCCCCCCCGTTCCCTGTGCACCTCCCCAACCGTTCCCCCCGCTGTCAGCTCACTTGCGTCCACGCTGTACGGAAACTGCCTGTCGTCCAGCCCGTCGTCCCCCGCGTACCGCACAGAGTGCGCCACTGTCTCTGACAACATTTGCTTTCTGCAGCACCAGCGCCCCACCTACCAGTGCCGTGAGTCCCGCGCCTACCAGTGCTGTAAGTTATGCGCCTACCAGTGCCTTTTGAGTCTCCTCAAGAGTCATCAGCCCATCATGCCCCGCGTACCTCACTGACTTCGCCAGCTTTCTGCAGCACCAGCGCCCTGCCTACCAGTGCCGTGAGTCACTAATTAGCAATGCTGTGAGACACAAGTCTACCAGCCCTTGCCACGGTGCCACTGGTGACGTTCACCAAATCCCTTGAGCCGCGTCAGCTGCCAAATCTCGAAGCACTCCAAGCACTCCATGCCCTCTGGTTACCTTCTCCCCTCTCGTCTCCTCGGATCCATCACCCATCCGAACCCCTCCCTCCCTCTTCCCTCCACCCCTCGTCCCCCCCTTCCAGTGCCCTACGATGCCTTGGGCCAATCCTCTTCCTCTTCATTCCTCAACACCACGCTAGCAGTGGTGATGCTGGTGCTGCTCGCAGTGGCCGTGGCAATGGGGGTGTGCTACGCGTGTGTGAAGCGCATGAGGCAGGGCCGGCCCAAGGCAGTGCCACCCCGGGCCAAGGTGGTGGTGAAGGCGAAAGAATACAGTGAGTGGAAGGGCTGGGGGGGGGGTGAACATGTGCGCGCGTTTTTGAGGTGCCTCAAAAGTGGTGAAGGTGAGATAATACAGTGAGTGGAAGGGCGGGGGGGAATGGAGAAATGAGAATTTATTTCGTCCATGCCACGCCCCTCTTGTCTCCTACGTTTCATCAGAAGTATACTTCTGCTTATTGCCTCTTTTGTGTGCACAGAGGACGTGGAGACTGGGGAGATCAAAGCGCCCCCGCCAGACACATACCTGCCGGGCATGCCACCAGGTCAGTGCTCCCTCACGCTGCACATGTGCCCTCTCTGACCGTATCACTGCTGCTTGCTGCTGCCAGTGCCTCGCTCCTACACTATCGTGCGCTGCACTGCCATCCGCGTCTCTGATTTCAGTGCCATGCACCAGCGCCCCCTCCCACCCTCCCCACCCTCCCTCCCTTCCCTCTCCTCCCCTCCCCACTCCGCCCAGACATCCCACGCTTCTCCTTCACTCAGCTCAATGAGGCCATTGACCGCTCCACGCGTCTGAGCTTTTCCCCCTCCCTCCCAACAATCCACCCCTCCCGCTTCTGCCTCACTTCTCCCATCTTACTCTTCCCCACTCCCCCTCCTCGCCGCCCAGACATCCCGCGCTTCTCCTTCACGCAGCTGAACGAGGCCACGGACTGCTTCACGCACCTCGCCAACACCAACGATCCCCGCGCTATCTACGACGCCACCTTCCTCCTCCCCCCCATCGCTCCTGCCGCCGCTGCCACTGCTGCCGCTCCTGCCAACTCTACTTCTGCACCTGTTGCTGCTGCTGCGGCAGCAGCGCCTGTGGTGGGGGGGGGCGGGCAGGAGCATCTGTCAGTGCAGCTGGTGAGCTTCCCCGGGGTGTACCTGGACGCGATGAAGGAGGAGTTTGTGGCGCGCGTCAAGCTCATCCACGCCGCGCGCCACCCCTGCCTCTTCGCCTTCCGAGGATATGCATACGAGGATGGAAACTTCGCCCTCGTGTATGAGCCCACCCGGGAGACGCTCTTCGACCGCCTGCATGGTACGCTGCCTCCTCTCTTGCCTCCCCTCCCCTCCCGTCCCTTTGCCCCGCATTGTGTTGTTCCGCCCCCCCCTCCTCCTTCCCGTTGCCGATTGTTCCCTTCCCTTCCCTTGGCATATGTTCACTCTGCCTCCTTGCCTGTGTCATGCTCACTCTATCTTTTTTCTCCCTACTGGTGGGTTGTCCCCTCCCCTCCTCCCAACCCCCAGAGGCGAGTGGCGCCCCTCTCACCTGGCGTGAGCGCATGGTGATCGCTCTAGGAGTGGCTGAAGGCTTGGACTTCCTCCACTCCTCCTCCACCTCCCACCACACCCCTCCCAAGTCCTCCACCACCCCTCCCCACGCCGCCACTCCTCTCCATCACGCCTCCACCTCCCCCAACTCCACCACCCCCCTCAACGACCCCCACATGCCCCCCCTCTCGGGCCACGAGGGCAGCGCGAGTCTGAGCGTGGCAGCCGGCACTCCTCTCGGGTCGGCACGAGGGGACGCAGGGCAGCAGGCGTGGCGCGGGGGCGTTGTGCACGGGGACGTGAAGTCGTGCAACGTGGTGATCACGGCGCACAGCAAGGGCAAGCTCGCCGAGTTCCAGGTCCCCTGCGACGACGCGGACGACCCGCTACGGTCCATCTCGGCGCGCGGCTCCTTCGGATACCTGGACCCGCAGTATGCCGACACCAAGCGCCTCACTGCGGCCAGCGATGTGTACTCCTTCGGCATCCTGCTGTTTGAGCTGGTGTCCGGGCGGCGGGCGATGCTGGACGACTCGAGCACGCTGATCGTGTGGGTGCAGCAGTTCTTCATGCGCCGGGACGATTACCCGGGCCTGCTAGACGGTGCGCTGGTCACCATGGGCGGCGTGCCGCCCAGCCAGCTGGTGCCCGTGATTGAGCTCGCGCAGGACTGTACTCAGGTGAGGAATGGGTAGGCTGGGGGCGAGGCTGGGGGGCGTTTTGGTGCGATGGTCACCGTGGGTGGCGTGCCGGCCAGGGGGAGAACACCGGAGGACTGCACCGGATTGGTGTCTTTGACTAATGCAGAGGGGGACGAGAGTCCATGTTTTGAGTGAAATCGTTTGCCACCCTTGTTGCCAACCGTCCGTGCCTTTACCACATGGTTCGCCTGCCCCGTGCGTCCCCACCACAGGTGAGGGAGGAGAGCCGGCCGACCATTCAGCAGGTGCGGGAGGTGCTGATGTCAACGGTGGGGGTGGAGGGCGGGGAGGTTTACGAGAGTGGGAGTGTGGTGGGGTATGGCGACGGGGAGAGCGACACCACCATCAGCCACCTGGATGAGGGGCTCGTGGCGAGGCGCGCGGCGGACCACGCTGCTCTCGAGTCCGCTGCTGCGGCTGTGCTTGCTGCGGTTGCCGCAGGGGGGGCGGCCAGGCAAACGCTAGAGGTGTACGACCATAGGGTGCACTCGCAGGGCCAGGCTCAGCCGCAGCAGCAGCAGCAGCGTGGGGAGAAGTCAGGTGGAGAGATTGAGATAGAGATGATGAGCGAGGGGAGTGAGGAAGAGCCGTGAGAAAGAACAAGAGGGTTGGTGAGGCAGGGAGGAAGGGTGGGCTCCCAATTGAGGAACAAGGAGCCATGGAGACAAGCACTTGCGTCATGCTGTAATTAGTCCGCTGCCCTTCCCACCTCCTGCTGCCGTTTCCACCCTCCTGCTGGCATGGCAGAATCAGCTCAAAGCTCCCGCTGCTCCTCAACAGCATCCCTGTCTAGTTTATTGCTTGCTTTAGCTTCTTTGAACTCCTAACGGACTAGCTAATTGTGGTGTAGATGCGTTGCTGGGTTGGGTTGCGACATAAGGCAGCCATGGCTGCCTGTATCTAGTCTACGGTTAAGTAGTCATACCTCAATCGTGGGTTTTTGATTGCCCACTTATCAGTAGAGGTACTAACCTGATGATTAGTAATTGGATAGCCTACTTGTCCCGACAACCCATCCTGCATGTTGCTTAGCAGCCAAGATGATCTCTTTGGAACTGCTTTAGGGCACAAAAATGCATCTTTACAAAAGAGGTGCAGCTTCTTCAGAGTGCCATGTGTCACATCCATGAACACCTCTCCCTTATTACACTCTCTCCCTAACTATTGCTCCCTAACCATTCCACCTGATCATTGCACAACATACACGAGGTCGCAGCGCCCCACAGTGGCATCAGCAGCGGGGTTCATCGCCACATAGGGCACGGGCGGCCCTCCCTCCCCGGCACCCCTGTACAGCCCCACCGCCAGCTGCCCATGCCGCTGCAGCATGCCCAGGAAGAGGCGCTCGAACGAGGCTCCAAGGAACTCCGCTGGTACCGGCACTAGTACCAGCTCCCTGCGGAGCGGTGCAGAGCGGTGCTGGTGGAGGGGGTGAGAGCTGGAAGGGAAGATGGTGCTAGTGGGGAGAGCGTTGGGTGGAGTAGTGGAGGACTGATGGGGAAGAGAAGTAGTGGTGGCCAGGCGCTCTGGGTTGGGTTGGGCGTTGCTCTGTGCGTCTTTTTCTCCCTCCTGCTGCTGCATCTGCAGTGTGCATTCCAGGGCTGGCTGCTGTATTTGGTGTTGCCGGTGCTGCTGGTGTTGCCTGTGCAGCAGTTCTGCCTCCTGGGGCGCATAAATAAAGCCTCCAGCAATTAGCAGGTCTGCCACCACGCTTAGATTGCGGTTCAAGAGGGCGCCATGGCTGGTGGGGGGAGGAGAGTGGAAAGAGCCAGGCAGAAATGGAAGCATACAGGTTTGGGAGGGGCGAGTAGCGCATGTCGGGGGAGGTGGGGTGGGGCACGGTAAATGTGGCGCAGGGGATTGCTCTTGCCGACGACTCACCTGAGGAGGAGCTGGCCAGCAGGGCAGGTGGTGCGGCCGTAGACGGATTACAGGTGGGCTGCGGAAGAGACACTACATGCTGTGCTCCTGGGTGCCTCAAATTGAATCCACTCACCTGAGGAAGAGCAGGCCAGCAGGGCAGGTGGCGCGCCCATCAGTGAAGGCAGGCGAGCAGCGCAGCAGCAGCGTGTGGTTGATGAGCATGGTGCGGTGTGACACGCGCCAGTGCCGGAACATGCCGTGCAGCACCTGCAGCGGCGGCAGGAACTGGTAGCTCTGCTCGTGCTGCACCTCGCACAACATACGGCTGCTGTGCGTCCGGTGCATGGGGAGAGTGGGGTGCTGCTGGTGGGACGTGGAAAAGGAGGAGGAGGAGGAGGAGGTGGAGGTGAGGTGCAGGGTTGTTTGGGAGGAGGAGGAGGTGGAGTGGGAGGAGAGCAGTCGCTCCACGGCGGCAGCGATCTGCACGTTCTCCACGTCCTCAGCAAACACCGAGGGATCGCCCGCTGTGGCCGCAGTGGCCGTGCTGCTGTCGCTGTCGTCCCCGCCCACTCCCACCGGGCCGGGCGTCGCGATGGTGTCTGATGCCATGATCACTATCTTGGCTGAGGGGTTCACGACGGATGAGGGGCATGGCATGGCATGGGATGGCATGGGATGGCATGGAATGGATGTGAGGCTCCTCAAAAGTACACTGTGGTATCCGACGCCAGCCTGCCAGGGTCAGGGTATTTTTGAGAATTCTCAAAAATACCCTGAGAATTCTAAAAAAAGGCAGGGGGGAGAAGCAAGGCAGAAGGGCAGGGGGGCCCTGCCGAAAAGATGCCAGCTCACCTGCAGAGAGGGCGCCGGCTCGGATGAGGTCCATTTGAGAGACGGGCGAGCCCTTGACGAAGTACACGTGGCGGTGGTATCCCACACTGCCCCACTGCTCCACACTCGGCTCCTGCAGCCGCAGAAACACTATCGGCACACACCCTTCTGCATCCTCCCTGCAACCCCCATCTCCCCCCCCCCATCACCCCTTTCTCCTGCTCCCTCCCTTCCAGATCCGCCTTCGCCCTCCCCTCCTCCTCTCTCCCCTCCTCCGCTCCCCCCCCACCCGTCCACGTCTCTTCTGAGGAAGCTGACAAAGTAGTGTAGGCTGTGCGGCCAGCACTCGCCCTGCAGCGCCACCAGCACGTGCGGCCGCTTGAAGCCCGCTGCTGCTGCTTCTGCCAGCGTGCGGCTGTGAAGGTGGGCAGCGATCTTGCTGCGGTTGCGGTGGAGCGTGGAGGGGTGCGGGCGAGGGGGCAGGGGAGGGGGCTCTGTGCGAAGCACACTGGCGGCTGCTGCTGCTGCTGCTTCTCCCATGGGGGAAAGGCTTTTTGTTGTTTCCATGCTCCCACTTGCCCCTCCCATGTGGCTAGAATACCCCATGGGAGCACACGTCGTGGGGTCCACTATGTCAGTGTGAGGGTGGGAGGTGAATGGGGAGCGGCGAGCGGGCCAAGCGGGCGGCCAGTCAAGCACAGCATCGACTGAAGCAGCGAGGGGCAGCTTGGGGGCGGAGGGGAGAACAGACAGAGAGGAGGAGGCAAGGGAGGGTTGGCAGGGGAGGGCACGCGAGGAGGAGCGGGAGAGAGGGCGGGAGAGGGTACGAGTAAGGGTGCGGGAGAGGGTGCGGGAGGAGACTTTTCTTGAGAGCTGTCTGGCCAGGGCTCTGCTTTTCGCCATGAGAGGATCGTCCTCCTCTGGAACAGAACCGCCCCTCCCCCATTCACCCTCCGCCGCCTCTTCTCCACCAAGGGCGCTCTCCTCTGCCCCCCCACTACTGGGCCCTACGGCAGCAGCGCTGCTGCTGTCCCCTCGGCCCGCGCCGCTGCTGCCACCACCGGGCAGCATGGTATCCTGAGGCTGTGCTGGGGTTTCAGCGGACTCAGTGCTCCTGGTGGAGGAGAGCGCAGGGGACGCGTGCGAGAGGTGGCGGGCAAACGAGGTAGAGTCGCGGCGAGAGGAAGCAGAGGAGTCACGGTGGGATGAAGGGGCAGAGGAGTCACGGTGAGAAGGCGGGGCTGCGAGGGAGAGGGGGAGAGAGGAGTGCGTGGAGGTGGCGGCGCGCATGGCGTGGTACAGGCGCAGAGCCAGCGACTCCTCTGACAGCCACGAGCGCCCACGCCTCCCACTGCCCCCCCTGCTGCTCCCCCGACTGCCCACTCTCCTCGCCCTCCCACTCCCCATGCCATTTGGCCGACCAATCACCATGCTCCCGCTGCCGCTGTCGCCATCCCTCTCCCCAGCCATCTCAGCCATCTCTCCCCTCCCACTACTCCCTCCTCCTCCACTTACTCTCACCTGGACTCCCACTTCTTCCTCTTCCTCATCCCCTTCATCCTCTTCTTCTTCCTCTGCTGATTCCTCCGAGCTGCCTTCCCCACCTGCCTCCTCACCCACCCATTCTCTGCTGATGTGGCGCCACGTCAGCATGGCCTCTGCTGACCAACCAGCACTGGGAGCACTGGCCCACGTGGCATGAACCTGTCCAATCAGCCTCAGTAGCTGTAAGTGCGTGAGAGGGCCCTTGGTGGGCTTAGGAGAGGGGTCATGTGGCAGTGGGGGTTTGGCTGTGCCAGGGGTAGCAGGGGATGGTACAGAAGGGGTGGTGGCATGACTGTTACCCTCTCTGCCCCTCTTCAGCTGCCGACTCTCCTCCCTCTCCTCCCTCTCCTCCCTCGCCTCCCTCTCCTCCCTCGCCTCCTGTATGTCGATGACTTTCTCAAACGCTTCTCCCACGTCCTGCCCTCCCCGCCTCTCAGTGTGCGGCTGGATCGTGCCGCGCCAGATGCCGCCCGCCATCATTGCAGGCAAGGAGTGCGCCGCCCGGCAGATTCCCTCCACTGTAGCAAGGTCTGGCGCTATTACGTGCCCCACGTCGCGAGGACCAATCACGTGGCCCCGCGGAAACAGAAAGATTTTCCGCAAGCTGGCACAATCTGCCCCTCCCTCCCCTCCTCTGCCCCCTCCTCCCCCATCCTCCACCCCCCCCTCCTGCTCTCTCGCCTCCCTCTCTCCCTTGCCCACGCCAAAGGAAGCGGGGAAGACATTGGAGGAACTGATGAGTTTCTTCAAGGGGTGCAGGCGAGGGCCGTAGTGCACGATGGACGGGGAGGAGGTGGCCCGCGAGGAGGCGGCGGAGGAGGAGGGGGGGTGAGCATCATCCGGTGTTTCGAGGTAGACATCGACAGCGAATAGGATGACTCGATACGCGCGATAAATGACTTCCACTAGCTGTTGTGTGGGCACGGAAAAAAAAAAGCCAGCAGACCTGGGCGCATCAATAGTGGACAGCGCAAAGAGCAGAGCAAACAACAAGCCTGCGTGCGGTGTCCTTCCAGAGATGGGGCAAGGCGGGAGGGAGGTGCGAGAGAGGTGCGAGAGAGGTGCGAGAGAGGTGCGAGAAAGGTGCGAGAGAGGTGCGAGAAAGGTGAGAGTGAGAGAGGAGCGAACACCCAGCCCAGCTACCCAAACTCCTACCGCTTCGAACAGCATGCCGTGGAAAGCAGGCGGCAGCAGCATAGGGAACACCTCAAACTGCTGCCCCTTGGTGTACTCGTTGAGGTGCGGCGCCGCGGGCAGAGAGGGCAGGGGCGGGCCCGAGGAGAAGAGGTTGGTCACGAGTGTGCTGAGGGCGGGCACCTGGCAGCTGGGATGTTTTGACAGGGAGGGGCCGGGGGGTTGAGAAAGCGAACGAGGTGAGGGGAGGTAGGGACAGGCAGCAGGTAGGGACGGGCAGTGGGCAGGGATGGGCAGCACGCAGGGGCGGGAGGGAAAGCCTGAGGAGAGGAGGTTGGTGATGAGCGTGCTGAGGGCGGGGACCTGACAGCTTGGGCAAGGGGCGGGGAGGAAGAGATGGGCATGTCATTGAAAGCGCAGGTGGCGGGGAAACAAGGGATTTGTGCAGTTCGCTCCGGATGAAACCAAGTTTGGTAGTCCGGGAATGATAAGACCTGAAGGGTAAGTACAGATACCGATTCATCGGTTTCTGGAACAACTTGATGTCCAAAACCCCGGAATTCTTGAAACGCTCCCCTTTGAAGAAGTAACGTCCAGAAAATCCATTGAAGTTTCGGACAAAACCCATGTCAGGTGAATTGAGGGATGAAGCGTGTCAAAACGCGCTTTTAACCGTTGAAAATCTTCCTTCGACCCCTCCCACAAAATCAAACCGTCATCGATGAAACGGAGGTGTAGAGCAGGGGGTGAAGGGATCGAACGGTGCAGGTGAATATCCAGGAAACTCATGAAAAGGACCGAGAAACAAACTGCGACTGAAGTCCCCATGGCGGTGGCGGAAAAATCTGCCGTTAAAAGTAACTTAGCTGTTGAACATCACCCACTTCAGCAGACGAGTGACCAGCGGAGCTAACGGATGTCTAGCCCTCTAAAGAAAATAAGAGACTGCATCGACCCCATCAAGTAGGGGAATCGACAGGTATAAAGATTCCACGTCGTAAGATGCGAGAAAAAGTTGATTAGAGAAACGTCGCTGCTCAAGCTGGAGAACAAGACTTTGCGAGTCTTTGACATAAGTAGACTGCTGCAATGCCAAAGGTCGAAGTACTGCGTCCAGCCAGCGAGAAACATTAGACGTAACCCAGGAGTGACAGGCCGCGATTGGTCGACCGGCCGGAACTTTCTTATGAACTTTCAGCAAGACGTAGAACACTGGAATCTTCCATCCGTTCTCAGGAGCCTTGTAAAATGAAGCCCAGATCTTCTTGGAAAGTAAAGGGTAAAAATCCTCGTGAATGGAACGAAGTTCGTGCAGAATATCGTCGACGGGTACCGTAGAGTATTCTCTGTAGACTTTCGGATCCAAGAGATGTTGTAGACATTTCTCTTGATAGAAGTCTTTACTCATCACCGTCAAGCCGAGATTTTTATCTGCAGGTTTGAAAATTATATTTGGATTGGAAGCAAGCCGTCGGAGTGTAGGGAGGACGTTCTTTCGGATTCTGGAGCGAAAGGTCTGATCGGCGACACTTCTGGCGACCGAGTCTCTGAAGAACGCTAGGGCCATCTCGATCTCGGAAGAAGCCGGGGGCGGAATCCAGTTAACTCGTCTGGGAAGTTTATAGCCTGGATAGTCAGAAACGATATCAGCTCCTCCAAAAAGATACATCGTACGAACACTGTTCATGAAAGCCTGCAACTCGGTATCTAAACTAGAAATGGTGCGGATGGGTGGAGTCGGTATAAATTTGAGTCCTAAACTGAGCAGTTGTAACTCATCGCGGGTGAAGAGATGGTCACTGAAATTGTGGAAGCCACGGTTAGTAACTCTGCAGCGTAGCTGACTCTCAGTCTTCCGACCGAACAGGATCAGCGCATACGCATGGACATCGTCCACTACTGCTGCTTTGTTTTTCCGCGGCCGAAACCTCCCCCGTTTTTTGCCGGTGCAGAAACACGCGGCTGCTGACGAGAGGCGTTGCGACCTGCCGTCTTCGCGAAAGAGCGTCCCATAGTCTGGACCGCATGCGTCGTCGCGTTGTCGGCGTTGACGTTCTTCTTCACGGGACCGGTGTTGTTCGTCTTCTTCCCCTTGCCGGTGCTGTTGCCCTTTCCCTTTCGGGACTGGCTTTTCTTCTTGGCGGCAGCACTGCGGTTGACGTTAAAGCCGCTCTGGTTCTTCTTACCGCGTTTATCGTTCTGTTTCTTCTTCCTTCCGTCAGACCGCTTAGAAAGAGCCTTCTCGACTTCTTGTTTAGCAATCTGTCGGACAGAGTCATCGACGGGAAGATTTTCTGCTGCATCCGTCGCGGCGGCTTTCTTCTCGTCGATTTCCTTTTTCTTCTCCTTCAGGTGCACTTCGGAGAGGTTAGCTTCCATGACAAAAACAGACATTGAGTCCTTGAATTCAGCAATCACCCGATCCTTGAAAAAATTCAGGTGCTTAGTCAGCTTCGAATTCTTGGTTCCAATGTCCGTCTTCTTAGCCAAGTTGATGTAGTTCGCAATCTGATCTTGCAGACGCTGAAACACGGCAACTGCCTCATTGCGAGCTTCGTCAGCGGCTTTCTTTTTCATGTTAATAAGAATGTCTTGAGCTGCCTTGTAGTAAGTGTCGCAAGCCGCGACAAGATCCTTATCAGCTTCCTGGCGGAGTTCCTCAGAGTTGCAAATAAAACCAAAGGGTACAATCCTGATGCTGTGGGGAATAATCCCGTTAGCCTTCTGCTCCGTCATGAAAATATATTGCTGATGAAGAGTCTGGTATTTCAGAAAACTCTTTTTGAAATCCTTAGCAGCTTGATTCTTAAAGTCGTTAAGACAAGAGGGAGTTGCCTGCTTGTCAAGAAAATCGTTATTAAGGTCACCAAGAAAATCGAAAGAGTCGGTCACGACGATGTCATGAATCTCGCGAACAGGTTCTTGCATCGGCGCAGCCATGGTTACAGGTCGTCGCAGGCCACGTGGCAGGCTCAGGAGAAAAACGAACTGCTGGAGCGTCGATTGTCCCAGGAGAAAAGTCGAGAGGAAACTCCCGAGCTCTCTTCTTGTTAGAGCGAGAAATTGGAGACTTAGGTGTGTCTTCGATTTCCACCAACTCTTTATCTTTACGAAGGCGCCTCGGGCTTTGAGTCCTCGAGATTCGTGCAAATCGTCGGAGCTGGTTAGACTTGGTGACATTGGTGTTGGTGTCGGTGTCGGTTGCATTAAAAGAATTGAATTTGTAGTTGGCCATCGCAGTAGTATCAGGTTTGAGTCCGATAGAACACCAGTTAGGTGCCATGTCGTCAATACGTGGCAGCAACTATGTAGTGACACCTGTGAAAGTTATTTTGTTGAGTGTTTGTGAAACTCGTAAAAAATGGCGGTAACCGGTTTCGGCTCGAAGCCTTCTTCAGACCACAAAGTCCTAATGAGAACAAACACTACCTATATGCCTAGAGGATGTCGCCCAGGATTCATCTCGCGCGGGAAAAACCGTCGCGGAGAAAGTGGGGACGCAACAAAAAAAGAAATAAGGGCAAACAGTAAAACTACTGTAGTCTAGCACTTATGAGCAGAAACTAAAAAGTTCCCAATTCTCTTCGGCAGCCTCCATGCGATAATAGCTCTCCTTGAAGCGAAAGTGTCGTGTGACATTGTAACGAGGTGACTTTTGAGTCGACTCAAAAGTCACTCCGGAGCGAACTGCACAGATTCTTGCTGCGGTCTTCATCACGGGCTGACTTTCTGAATTCCAGGGCCCTTTTCTTCGCTCGACTAAGAGCCAGAGGGTACCCGGAGAATTTTTTGCTACCAGTCTTCAAGTCAGTCTCTTTTGCCTCTCGCAACGAACTCCTCACTCGCGCTTCCTCATTTCGCGACTCTCCTAAACGTGGGCCCCTCGTGTTGAAATGTTTGTTCAACCCTTGGGTTGACCGTTCACACTTGGGGAAACTTTTGAGTCGACTCAAAAGTCACCCCGTTACAATGTCACACGACACTTTCGCTTCAAGGAGAGCTATTATCGCATGGAGGCTGCCGAAGAGAATTGGGAACTTTTTAGTTTCTGCTCATAAGTGCTAGACTACAGTAGTTTTACTGTTTGCCCTTATTTCTTTTTTTGTTGCGTCCCCACTTTCTCCGCGACGGTTTTTCCCGCGCGAGATGAATCCTGGGCGACATCCTCTAGGCATATAGGTAGTGTTTGTTCTCATTAGGACTTTGTGGTCTGAAGAAGGCTTCGAGCCAAAACCGGTTACCGCCATTTTTTACGAGTTTCACAAACACTCAACAAAATAACTTTCACAGCTGTCACTACATAGTTGCTGCCACGTATTGACGACATGGCACCTAACTGGTGTTCCATCCGACTCAGCTTGGGCAAGGGGCGGGGAGGAAGAGATGGGCATGTCATTGAAAGCGCAGGTGGCGGGGAAACAAGGGCTGTGAGGAGACGAGGTTGGTGATGAGCGCGCTGAGGGAAGGGAAAGATCAGGTGAGGACGGCGCTTTGGGGAAAGATGAGAGGAGGTGCTCGTGGCAGCAGGTAGAGCATGCGAAGCATTGCGGCACGCAGTCCGCAGAGCATGTATGGTTGTTGGTAACTGCCTGTGCGGCGCTGGTGCCTACCTCCTGACCATGAGGTGGAAGTGCGTGGGGCCGGTGCAGAAGACTCCCAAGAGCAGCTGAGATCCATACCCCCACCAGTCACTACCTCCACCAGTCCTTACCCCACCAGCCGCTACCTCCACCAGTCGCTACCTCCACCAGTCCTACCCCCACCAGTCGCTACCTCCACCAGTCGCCTATCACATGCAGTACCTTCTGGCCAAGAGGTGGAAACGCGTGGGGTTCGTGCAGAAGACTGCCACGAGCAGGGCTAAGAGCGCTGCCTGCACCAACTGCTACCCCCACCGATCACGCGCAGTACCTTCTGGCCATGAGGTGGAAGCGCGTGGGGTCCGTGCAGAAGAGCTCCAGCGAGCTGACCTCGTCCCACATGGCGCCCCTTCCCTCCACCTATCAGGGTGATGGAGGCGAATGGGGGAAAGACACGACAGCTAAAGGAATGGACAAATGTACCCCGGTGCCATGACAGCCAAAGGAAAGGACAAATGTACCCCGGTGCCATGACAGCAGCGGCAACTGTTAGCGAAGCAGCAGCTCTGCTGACGGGTCAAGTACCGCTCATTCCACAGATGGAGCCCGCATGTCGTAACTAACAACACAAACCACCTCTCACCTGTGGTCTCCGCAGTTCAACCACCACTCTCATTCGCCCCCCGGCACGACGGCGCACCTAATAACCCTCCCTGCTGCGCCATGTGCTCACATCACATGCTCTTGCCTCCTGTCACCTGCCGCTGCTGGCAGACGAAAACGTGGCGTCTTGGCTCACCTGCGGTCGCAGCAGCTCCACCACCACTCGCACTCGCCCCCGGCACGACCTGTGTGCTACAAGCCCTCGAATGAGCTGCGCCGTGTCCTCACTCTCTGGGTCCTGTGGGTGCATGGGTAGGCAAGGGGACACGGCAATGAGCCCTCTGCTTCATTGCTTGCCACAACAGTGGGCAGAGAGGGGAGCACTGGCTGTACAGTGGTGGTGTCCGGGACTCACAGCAGCCAACAACCCTACAAAGATTGCCCATGGCAGCGCTCACACGGGCCACAAACACCCACCTCTGCACTCACACGGGCCACAAACACCCACCTCTGTGTTCCGATTGGCCAGCAGGTAGATGGCAAGGGCGTCCTTGGCAGCCACACGATCAAAGTCATCTGGACGGTCCATCTGGCCCTGCATGTAGCTCGCCTTGCCCTGGAAAAACCCCAGAAGCGCCTTGAGGGCGAAGCTGCAGAGCCCACGGGGAGGGGGTAGGGAAGCAGGGGAGTGCGCTAGAGTGCGAGGGAAGGACCACGGAGGGAAACAACGTGAGATGCGTTGTAAGGGCCATCCGCTCCTACATGTGGCTCGCCTTGACCTGGAAGAACCCCAGTAGCGCTTTCAGGGCGAAGCTGCGAGGCGAGGCGAGGGGGGAGAGAGAAGGTGGATGGAGAGGATGAGGGTAGAGCTGGACGAGGGTAGAGCTGGACGAGGGTAGAGCTGGACGAGGGTAGAGCTGGACGAGGGTAGAGCTGGACGAGGGTAGAGCTGGATGAGGATAGAGTTGGACGAGGGTAGAGCTGGACGAGGGTAGAGCTGGACGAGGGTAGAGCTGGACGAGGGTAGAGCTGGATGAGGATAGAGTTGGACGAGGGTAGAGCTGGACGAGGGTAGAGCTGGACGAGGGTAGAGCTGGACGAGGGTAGAGTTGGACGAGGGTAGAGTTGGACGAGGGTAGAGTTGGACGAGGGTAGAGTTGGACGAGGGTAGAGCTGGACGAGAGGAGTGTGTGGTTGAGCATTGTGTAGGGTCCATCTGCCCCTGCACGTAGGTCGCCTTGCCCAAAAGCACGAATGAAGGGAAGGCAGAAGCACAAATGAGAAACTCAGGCGCGACTGAGAGGTAGCAAGAGGCGGAGTGAGTGGCAGCAAGAAAGGGGTGGAGCTCATGACTGGAGTGCGGTGCGGTGCGGTGCACTCACGAGGGGGGGTCTGGTCCCATGAAGACCACCTTGAGAGGATAGACGGGGATTCCTGGTGACCGGGGGAGGGGGAGAAGAAAGGGGAGAGCGATGCAAGGGAGGACGGAGGGTAGGAGGACAAGTGGCATTGTTCGCCCTCCTATTGTATGCAAATATGCATATTCTCCACGGCAAGGCAAGATGTGATGGTGGCACGGGAGCGGGCACGAGCTCAAGGAGACGGGGAGGGAGAGATGGAGATGGAGAGACTCCTAGGAAGGGCGCATTCCAGCAGAGGATCGATGAGGGTGAACAAAGTCAGCCAAGTCAACAAAGTCAATCTAGGCTGCAGAGTCAGCAAAACGAGGTAAATGCACTGCCTGCCGTTTCGCAGCAGCGAGACGAAGGAGCAGAGCAGGTCACGAGCGCATGAGAGAGATTGGAGTGGCAAGCAGTGGGATCACAGTGCCCAAGTTAACGGGGCCAAGAGGGTCAATGCGTGAAGGAGGTGGGTGCACTGACTGCCGTTGTGCAGCGGGGAAAAGAAGGAGGAGAGCAGGTCGCGAGCGCACTGCACGGATGACACCCCCCAGATCACCACAAAGCGCACCCCCACCGTGCGGTAGCGCGACAGCGATCCGCCGTAGGGACTGGCAGTGGGAGGAGTGGCACACGTGGAGAGGCACACGTGGAGAGGCACACGGGGAGAGGCACAGGGGGCGCATGGAGTAATATGAAGGGAGCACTGCACGGAGGCCACCCCCCAGAGGACCATGAATCGCACTGCCACCGTGCAACGGTAGCACGACAGCCACCTGCCGTAGGGACTGGTGGAAGGGGGAGGGTGTCTAGGCTAGTACCTTAGGTGTGTCTCGCTCTTGCCATGTACGCGCCCTACCTTTCATGCCTGTGCCTTTATAATCTACTACCACGGACAACTTGGGTTGGGGGGTGGAGGGTGTAACGAGCAGAAGAAGTGGAAAGGTCCATGGGGAGAGATGGAGGGGGGACGGTGGAGATGAGTGCCAGCCGGACCGGTGGACTGAGGGGAACAGGCTGGCCCAGGGGGGTGACAGGGGTGCTGCTGCTGATGCTTCTGCTGCTGCTGGTGCTGCTGCAGGTGCTGCTGCTGCTGGCACTGCTGCTGCTGCTGCTGCTGCTGCTGCTGGTGCTGCTGGTGCTGGTGCTGGTGCTGGTGACAGGGGTGTCAACTCGTTTTTTAGAATTCTCACAAACGGATCCCAGCAGGGGGTTCAGTGCAGCGGGCTATTCTAACAGTTGGGCGCGAGATGCACGAGGCAGGCGACCTGCAGCGGAATGCAGGTGGGCACGGCGCACAAGGTTGTATCACGCTGGCCACTGCCAGCGACCACTGCCAGCGACCACTGCCAGCGACCACTGCCAGCGACCACTGCCAGCGACCACTGCCAGCGACCACTGCCAGCGAGCGATCACTGTCAGCGACACCCAGAGATGAAGACTGCACCGGCAGGCTGCGCCAGAGGGCTATGCCATGCATGCGGCAGGGGGCTAGGCCATGCATGCGGCAGGGGGCTAGGCCATGCATGCACTCACCGGTTGGAGGCGAGCTGCACGAGGCGGTTGACCTGCAGCGGAATATAGGTGAGCGCGCCGAATATGGTGAACACGGTTACCACGCGACCCCAGGCGGAGTGCGGCGTCACGTCACCATACCCCACTGTTGCCACCTGGTGGGCGGCGCATGGGGTGGGATGAGAGGGCAGGTGGGGGCAGTGCGGGGGAGGACGAAGGTGGGGGCAGCGCAGAGAGGAAGCAGTTCCAATGGGACACTTGGTGCAAGCAGCAGTGCTGCAGTGAGAGCATGCAGGTGCGCTTGGGGAGGCGAGAATGAGCGCATGCATGAGGAAAGGCGTACAGCACATGCATGAGGAAAGGCGCCCAGCACATGCATGAGGAAAGGCGCCCAGCTCATGCTTGAGGCAGAAAGAGTCTCACCGTGACGACCATCGGAGATCAAATCTACAACAGTGAAGTGAGGGAATGAATTCTCACCGTGACGACCATGAAGTAGAAGGAGTCGAAGAAGTTGGTGCAGCCACTCTGAGGGCACTCGTGCTCCGTCTTATACGCGTCACTTGTGCCCCAGTACTCCGCGAACTGGAATATGCCCGCTCCCACCAGCACTGGCGCGGAAGGGAAGGGGGAAATGGGGGAAGGGGAGGTGGTAGCTGATAGGTGGGAGAGGGCAATGATGGTCTGGTTGTCTAGATGGTCCCTCCCCCAGTACCCCGCATACTGGAATATGCCTGCGCCCACCAGCACTGGCAGGGATGGCAGGAAGGGGACGTGGAAGAGATAGTACGAGGGAGAAGGCAGCTGTGCTCGGCCTAGTGTGATTCAGGTGAGCCCTTATAGGTGGGAAAGGCCCTTACAGGTGGTGAAAAGGCTTACAGGTGGTGAAGAGAGTGAACCCGAGGGCAATGATCTCTTTGGCGATTGTGTTGCGCATGGTGAGCGCCGCCTTCACGATGGATATGGTGCTGCACGATGGAGCGGTGGGGGGAGTGGGGGGGTGGGGGGGGGAGCAATGTAAAGAACCAAGAAAGGGGTATTGCGCATGGTGAGCGCCACCTTCACTATGGATATGGTGCTGCACGGTGGAGGGGGGGGGGGGGGTGTGGATGGGGATTGGGGGGGAGAGCAATGTAAAGGGCCTGGAAAGGGGTGTTGCGCATGGTGAGAGCAACGCCTCCACCGTGGATATGGTGCCGCATGGGGGAGGGGGGAGAGGGAGACGGTAAATTCGTTTTGAGACGTCTCAAAATGAGACGACTAACACACGGGTTGGAGGGGGGGAAGGGAGACGGTGTTTGAGTCGACTCAAAGAAGGGAGACGGTGTTTGAGTCGACTCAAAGAAGGGAGACGGTGTTTGAGTCGACTCAAAGAAGGGAGACGGTGTTTGAGTCGACTAAAAGAAGGGAGACGGTGTTTGAGTCGACTCAAAGAAGGGAGACGGGGAACGACCAGGAAAGGGGAGGGGTGTTGCTTATGGTGCGAACGACCTTCACTATGGATATGGCGCTGCGGGGTGGAGGGGGGAGAGGGGGAGCAAGGGGAGCAAGGGAAGCGAGAGCTGCCTTTGCGGTGGATAGGGGAGCTGCTGGGTTTGGGTGGGATGGGAAGGGCAAGGTAAGCGTATGGATAGCAGCTGGTGGGGCGATGAAGCGGGGTGATGAAGCGGGTTGATACGAGGAAGCACAAGGGGTGAGAGAAGGAGCTGGGCGGATGGCACTTGAGTTCATTCAGGGTCCAGGGGCTGGGGGGAAGCGGGTGGGGGGAAGGGCTAGGGAGAAGCGGATGGGGGGAAGGGGCTGGGGGGAAGTGGGCTGGGGGCGAGGGGCTGGGGGCGAGGGGCTGGGGGCGAGGGGCTGACCGGATGACTCGAAGGAAGGTGAGGAGCTGCGGCAGGCGCACGCTGGTGCTGCTGCTGCCCACATCGCGGTTCCTGGCGTGGCGTGGCATGGGGGGCATGGCATGGCATGGCATGGCATGGCATGGGATGGCATGGCATGGCATGGCATGGCATGGCATGGGATGGCATGGCATGGCATGGCATGGCATGGCATGGCATGGCATGGCATGGCATGGCATGGCATGGCATGGCATGGCATGGCATGGCATGGCATGGCATGGCATGGCATGGCATGGCATGGCATGGCATGGCATGGCATGGCATGGCATGGGATGGCATGGCATGGCATGGCATGGCATGGCATGGGATGGCATGGGATGGCATGGGGGGCGTGTGTGGTGGAAGAAGTGAGGGACGAGCAGGGAAGGTGGAGGGTGGCACAAAGTGGCAGTGCACGGATGGATAAAGGCAACCTCATTGCCATGCGTGCATGCTGATGCCGTGCCCAACACAAGAAAGCCCTAAGCTAAGGAGAAAAGTGGGGACGAGCACAGGCGCATTCCCAGCGCAGGGCGAGTGAGAGTGGCCTACGAGCAAACTGGCTTTAAGGCGCCTCAGAGACCAGTCCAAGCACAAGGGAGTACGAGAGTGGCGTTAGGGCAATGAGGGCGGCTCACAGGCGGACGAGGACAGCTCACAGGCAGACGAGGACGGCTCATGGGCGGACGAGGATGGCTCACAGGCGGACGAGGACGGCTCACAGGCGTACGAGGACAGCTCACAGGTGGATGAGGACAGCTCACAGGCGGATGAGGACGAGGGGCAGCAGCGAGATGAGGTCCAGCAGGCCATGCCACGAGATGACGTAGTGCACCCACGAGTATGCACTGTGGGGGAGGCGGGGACGGGGGGGGACGGGGCGGGGAGAGGGGGACGGACAGGGGGCATGGGGGTTGCACGGGGGGCACGGGGGGGCACGGGGGGGCACGGGGGGGCACGGGGGGGCACGGGGGGGACAGGGGGGGACAGGGGGGGACAGGGGGGGAGACGTCTTTTGAGTGTGCTTTTGAGTTGACTCAAAAGCGAGATGAGGTCCAGCAGGCCACGCCACGAGATGACGTTGTGCACCCACGAGTACACACTGTGGGGAAGGCGTGGACCGGGGGGGGGGGAGGGGGGAGGGGGAAAAGACATTGAGGTGGGAGGGATGGGGGGGAGGGGGGTAATGCAGCGAGGGGGAAGGCAGGCACCTGAAGACACACCTGAAGACACACCTGAAGATGTTCGTGGCACAGTCGAAGAGGAAATAGGAGCTGAAAACACACCTGAAGTGAGGAAGCACGCACCTGGCGACACACGCACCTGAAGATGTTGATGACATAGTCGAGCAGGAAGAAGGAGCTGAAGACGGTCTGCAGAGTGACCATCCACTCCACGCTGTTGTCGGGATTGTAGCTGGAGGAGGGGCGGCGCGCAATGGGGGAAGGAATACGTGGAAAGGGGGAAGGGAGACGCGGAATGGGGGGAGGGAGAGGCGCAATGGGGGAAGGGAGACGCGGAATGGGGGGAGGGAGAGGCGGAAAGGGAGGGCAAATGAGCTCTGGGGCGGATAGGGCTCTGGGATGGCAGCTGGGGGGCGGGAGGAAGGACGGGAGGAAGGACGGGAGGAAGGACAGGAGGAAGGACAGGAGGAAGGACGGGAGGAAGGACGGGAGGAAGGACGGGAGGGGAACATGGGTGCGTGAGTGGAGAGGGGGGATGAGAGGCGGGGAAACTGCTGGTTGCACATTGCACAGGCTCCTATGTGCGCTACACGCCATGTCACCACCGTTGGAGCGAGACATAGAGCGGGGAGCAGCAGCAGGGGTAGGATGCCCTGGGGTGGACTCACGTGTGCCACACATAGAGCGAGACGGACCCCATCGTCGCCACCACGTCCAGCTGAGAGGGGCGCAGCAGAGCGGGCGGGGGGAGGAGGAGAGAGGGTGAGGGGAGCAGCAGAGCGGGCGGGAAGGAAAGAGGGCGCGGGGAGCAGCAGTGGGGGTGTGAGCGTAGGCGGGCGAGTGGCCCCTTGGAAAGCAGGTGGGTGGTAGGCAAGGGCACGAGGGCACGAGGGCAGGGTGGCAAGAGGGCAGGAGGGCAGGGGGCAAGAGGGCAGGGGGGCAAGAGGGCAGGGGGGCAAGAGGGCAGGGGGGCAAGAGGGCAGGGGGGCAAGAGGACAGGGGGGCAAGAGGACAGGGGGGCAAGAGGACAGGGGGGCAAGAGGGCAGGGGGCAAGAGGACAGGGGGGCAAGAGGACAGGGGGGCAAGGAGGGGCAGGGGGGGCAAGAGGACAGGGGGGCAAGAGGACAGGGGGCAAGAGGACAGGGGGGCAAGAGGACAGGGGGGCAAGAGGACAGGGGGGCAAGAGGACAGGGGGGCAAGAGGACAGGGGGGCAAGAGGACAGGGGGGCAAGAGGACAGGGGGCAAGAGGACAGGGGGGCAAGAGGACAGGGGGGCAAGAGGACAGGGGGGCAAGAGGACAGGGGGGCAAGAGGACAGGGGGGCAAGAGGACAGGGGGGCAAGAGGACAGGGGGGCAAGAGGACAGGGGGGCAAGAGGACAGGGGGGCAAGAGGACAGGGGGGCAAGAGGACAGGGGGGCAAGAGGACAGGGGGGCAAGAGGACAGGGGGGCAAGAGGACAGGGGGCAGAGGACAGGGGGGCAAGAGGACAGGGGGGCAAGAGGACAGGGGGCAAGAGGGCAGGGGGGCAAGAGGACAGGGGGGCAAGAGGACAGGGGGGCAAGAGGACAGGGGGCAAGAGGACAGGGGGGCAAGAGGACAGGGGGGCAAGAGGACAGGGGGGCAAGAGGACAGGGGGGCAAGAGGACAGGGGGGCAAGAGGACAGGGGGGCAAGAGGACAGGGGGGCAAGAGGACAGGGGGGCAAGAGGACAGGGGGGCAAGAGGACAGGGGGGCAAGAGGACAGGGGGGCAAGAGGACAGGGGGGGGCAAGAGGACAGGGGGGCAAGAGGACAGGGGGGCAAGAGGACAGGGGGGCAAGAGGACAGGGGGGCAAGAGGACAGGGGGGCAAGAGGACAGGGGGGCAAGAGGACAGGGGGGCAAGAGGACAGGGGGGCAAGAGGACAGGGGGGCAAGAGGACAGGGGGGCAAGAGGACAGGGGGGCAAGAGGACAGGGGGGCAAGAGGACAGGGGGGCAAGAGGACAGGGGGGCAAGAGGACAGGGGGGCAAGAGGACAGGGGGGCAAGAGGACAGGGGGGCAAGAGGACAGGGGGCAAGAGGACAGGGGGCAAGAGGACAGGGGGGCAAGAGGACAGGGGGGCAAGAGGACAGGGGGGCAAGAGGACAGGGGGGCAAGAGGACAGGGGGGCAAGAGGACAGGGGGGCAAGAGGACAGGGGGGCAAGAGGACAGGGGGGCAAGAGGACAGGGGGGAAGAGGACAGGGGGGAAGAGGACAGGGGGGAAGAACACAGGGCGCAAGAGGTTGTTACAATCTGGAAGAGGCGAGCGAGCGGTCCCTTGGAGAGCATGGCTCGCAGGCGCATGGGCAGGGGGATGCGGCCGAAGAGAAAAGCGTCGTCGTAGCTCGCAAGCACGTCCTGCACGGTAAGGGGTTTGGGGGGGTAGGGGGTGGTGCGGGGCGATCTGAGAAGGAGAGGGGCAGGTACTAGGCGGCAGGATTTGTTCAGAGAAGGGGCGGTGCCCATTCTCCTTCCAATCGTCCCCATTCCTCCCCCCTCTTCCCTCCCATTCCCCTTTCCCCTCACCCCCTCGCCTCTCCCCCTTCCACCCGAACCTCCCCTTCCCCTCTGCCGCCTCTCACATCGGGGGCGTCCACTCGCTTCGCCACGCGGTCCGAGGGTCCCTTAAATCGCGGCCGCAGCCGCAGGCCACTCCGCGCCTGCCACGTGGCCTTCCCCCCAGCCAACCCATCACCGTCCCCGCTCTTCCCCCCGCGTCCTTCCGCTCTCCTCTCTTCTCCGCCACTGCGCCCCTCTCCGCCGCCGAAGCCCGAATTGGCGCGCTCTGGACCCGTCGCTGCTCCCCGACCATCGTCGCATTGGCGCGCTCTGTCAGACGGGCCAGCGAAATCCGCCATCTGTTCTCCTCCGTTCGACATGCGCCCCCCACCCTGACGATTTTCTAGGGTTTCTCGCTGTTCGGCTTCCGCCATGCGTTCTTCCCGCGTTTCATCGTCTAGTCGCGAATACACGTCGCCGGCGACCCCCCCCGAAGGCACGAAGCAAACGGCCTCTAGCGGCAAGCAGCCGGGTGAACAGCTGGGCTGGCGGCCGGCCATTCTGACGGCGGGCCGTCAGGGGTAACGGAGACCTGTTACTACGTACTCTGAACCGTAGCGGCAAATGTGCTGGCAGGGCGAAGCGAGTGGTTTTGCCGAAACAGCGGAATAGGAAATGGTGAACGTTCTTCGGATATGTCCTACCCCGTGTGAGCTCACTGGGTTTCAGCTATTATTCGACAGCTGGGCTTGTCAAATTAGCGGCACTTTCGCTGATGTGCACGTACAGTATCTTCTTGACCGTTGACCGTGTGTGGGATGGGAGGAGCGAAACAAAACGCATTCCTACATTGCGTGGTGGGACGTGATGGGGGGACGGGACCAGCGTGGCGGTGCGGGATCAGTGCAAACTGGGGGGGTGACGGTTGGAATTGCCATGCGAAACGAGTGGTGTGACAACGACATTCCGTTACCTTCATGGAGTTTGTTATGAATAATAACTCAGAGTGCGCGGAATAATAATGACGAGTACAAGAAGGATAGCCTAGCATTATATAGCGAGTGCTCTAGCTAGGCGACGAGCCCGGAGGGCTAGGTTGGGTACAGGCGCGGTCGAAAGGTCGGAGGCGGCGCGGGCGTGCCTTGGGGCCGCGTCAGAAACGGACCGAGCCTGGTCTGCCGAGAGTTCGGGTGTACGCGATTGCAGTACAACCCGGTAAGGAATAAAATTCCTTACACTATCCCCCCCCCTAAGGAAGGTGATCAACATCGGGAACGCCTTTTCGGGTCAAATAAGATTTGAGCACCGAGTGTTCTTGAAGCGAGTCGGAAGGGACCCAGGTGTCGTATTCGCTTGTACGGTCAACACAGCGAACAAGAAAATCCACGTGGCGACCAGTGGAGTCGAGGCGGACGCGATGACTCAAAAGCCGGAAAGGCTCAAGTGTCGGTTCAGCCATCGGGCGGACACTTGGGGCGGCCGCTGGGCGTGCGACTGCAGACGTGCTGGCGACGTAGGGACGAAGCAGGCTGACGTGGAACGCGTCGTGAATGCGCCACTCGTCCGGAAGTAATAATTTCGCTGTGACAGGTGTCACCATCTTGACAATACGAAAAGGTCCACAGAATCGCGGGCGAAGTTTGAAGGCAGGGGCAGGCAAGGTTCTTTGTGTCGAGAAGGACTAGTTGCCCTGCAGCCATGGTGATATCGCGGCGATGAAGATCTGTGTAGCGGCGGGCGGTTGTGTTGGACTTGCGAATGAATTCGATCGCTTTTTCGCGGGCCGCCTGCAAACTGTTCACGAACTGCTGGGAACGTGGCACTGGGTTGTCGATGGTGGTAGTCGTCGGGACTGTCGGATCCATGCCGTAGTTTAGAAAAAACGGCGAGTGATTAGTCGTGGCGGATTGGGCATTGTTGTACGAAAATTCCAGCATGGGCAGGAATTCTTCCCACCGGGCAGGATCCGGGCAGTTGGTGCGTATCAGTTGTTCCATAGTTTGATTGGTTCGCTCTGTCTGTCCGTCGGTTTGAGGATGGTAGGCGGAGGAAAACTGGAGGCGTGTGCCGTACTGCCCCCATGTTTCCTGCTAGAACTTGGACGCGAATTTTGGGTCGCGGTCGCTGATGATCGCTGAGGGTATGCCGTGCAGACGAACAACGGTGGAGATGAAAAGCTTCGCTGTATCTTCGGCTGTGATTGTTGTGCGACAGGGTGCGAAGTGTGCCATCTTCGTCAGACGATCGACGACGACCAGGACGGCGTCGTTGCCCGTGGCGGCGTCTGGGAGCCCCGTGACGAAGTCCATCGTCACATGTTGCCACGGTCGCTGGGGTGGCTCGAGCGGTTGCAGCAGTCCAGCTGGCCGCCGTCGGGAAGACTTCATTCGTTGGCAGATCGGGCACGCGGATACGTATCTCTGCACATCAGACGCCGAATCAGGCCAATAATAAAAACGGTGAAGTAACTTCTGGGTTTTATCAAGCCCAAAATGACCGGAGAGGTTAGAATCGTGGACTTCTTGAATAAGTAATTCGCGGAGGAGTCTGTAGGCGGGAACCCAGATACGGTCAGTACCGGCTTTTAGGAAGTAGGGTCCTTTGGCTGTGGTGGCTTGTTGGTGGTGGTTGCGGGTGAAAAAGGGGTCTGTGGTATAGCCGTGGGTAAATAGGCCAGTGAGCAGCGGGTTGGATTTTGCGACGATGATTGAGGCGAGGTGGGCGGATGGTCTTGTCAGCGCGTCACGAATGTTATTCGCTCCCCGTTTGTACGTGATGGTGTAGTGGAAGTTGCTTTCGAGGAAGTCCAGCCAGCGAATCTGCCGTGGATTTAGATTCGGCTGCGCGCGGAGGTACTGTAGGGATTTATGGTCTGTCCGTACTGTCACGTCGGCTCCCGTCAAGTAGCATCGCCACACCTTGAATGCGTGCACGATGGCGAGCATTTCTTTGTCGTGGACGGGGTAGTTGCGCTCGGCTGCCTGCAACTTCCTAGACTCATACGCGATGGGTTGGAGTCCGTCGCCGAAATCTTGTAACAGTATCGCACCGATGGCGAAATCGCTAGCGTCCGTCAAGACTTCGAACGGTCGAGATGGGTCGGCGATTCGGAGGACCGGGGGCGACGTCAGAGAATTTCGCAGTTCATCGAAAGCAGTCTGCTGTCTCTCCCCCCATTCAAACAAAGTGCCCTTCCGCAGCAGGTCAGTTAACGGTCCGGTTATCCCTGCCATATTGGGGATAAACCTCCGGACATAATTAACGAACCCGAGAAAACTCTGCAGCTCCTGTAAATTCGTCGGGGGCTTCCAGTCGCGAATCGTTGTGATTTTTTTCGGGTCGATTTGTATGCCGTCCGCTCCCACGACATGTCCCAAAAATTCCAGTTCGGATTTTAGGAACTCGCACTTGGAGCCCTTCGTGATGAGCCGGTTTTCTTGCAGCCGCCGGAAAACTTGCTCAAGGTCCTTGAGGTGCTGTTCCTGTGTCTTGCTGTAGATCAGAATGTCATCAAGATAGACGATGACACACTTGTCGAGCAGGTCTCGGAATACGCCGTTCATGGTGAGTTGGAAAGTGGAGGGCGCGTTCGTGAGGCCAAACGGCATCACTGTGTACTCGTAGCTGCCATAGCGGGTTCGGAACGCCGTCTTGTGGCAGTCGTCAGCGAAGACTCGGATCTGATGGTAACCGCCGCGTAAGTCGATTTTCGAGAAGAAGCGAGCTCCGCGAAGTTGATCGAGAAGATCGTCCGCGCGTGGGATTGGGTAGCAGGACTTGATTGTTCGTCGATTTAGCGCCCTGTAGTCGATGCACATTCGCAGCCCGCCGTCTTTTTTGGGCGTGAACAGGATGGGTGCTGCGAACGGGGAGGTGCTGGGCCGAATGAACCCCTTCTCCAAGAGGTAGTCCAGTTGGCTTCGCAACTCCGTGAGCTCCGGCTGAGTCAGCCGCCACTGGGTCCTGACTGTAGGCTGCGCGCCGGGTTCCAGGTCAATTTTGTGGTCCTGGGGGCGCTCAGGTGGCAGTCCTGCTGGCAGATCGTCCGGAAAAATATCCGAGTACTGTCGAATCAGCGCGGCGAGCTCGGCAGGGACACTGGCACAAAGTGTGTCAATGTCCTTTGGCGTGTCGTCGACCGTCGCGTCGGCCAGGTGGACGGCGTACAAGTCAGCTCCTTTTTTAACCGCTCGCTGGAAGGTGATGGCGTTGACACGTGTCGACACCGGATCTCTCCCACGCCAGCTTGGAAGTACGCGCCACCCGTTCGCACAGTGTACGCTGCATTCGCCAGTTGTCCAGTCGATCCTCGGATTGTATTTTCGCAGCCAATCACGCCCAAGCAGAATGTCGCAGCCGTCCAGCGTCGTGGCCAGCATGGGCATGCTGAATCCGAAGTCGTCGCCACACTTCATCCGCACCATGCGCGCTCGTTCTCTAATTGCAAGTGGAGTTCCGTCCACCAGTCGCGCGTCGATTTCGGGAAGACATTTTTCCAACGTCAGCTTCAACTGCTTCGCTGTTGTCACGTGTATGAGACTGTGACTAGCTCCGCCATCCACAAATAACTTTATTTTTTTGCCGTTAACCTTGCCTTCTACCAGCACAGGGTGATCTTCAGGTTCGCTCCCGTTATTCGTCCGAGTGCGGTCGATAGCGTGTATCGGTACCACAACTTGGTGGGAACGCTGAAGTTCGGGCGACAAAGCCTCGTCAGTAGGGGGCCCGTCTGCTACTGACTTTTCCCATTTCCCGGCTTCTCCTTGTCGTTCTTCGTCTTCTTGGGCGCGTCGGGCAGTACTTAGCTCGGTGACCTGGCTTGTCACATCGAAAACATAGCCCGTGAAATATTTCATCGGGCGCTGACACGCCATTGATCGTGGGGCGGGGAGACTGTCCACGAAAACGACCAACATCCCTGTTGTTCTTTCTCGCCCACTGCTGCAGTGCATCGGCTGCTGACGCCAGCTGGACGGCTTCATCGAACGTCTTGGGACGGGACCGCTGCAACTCGTATTGAATATCGAAATGCAGCCCGCTAACGTATTTGTCCCGTCTTTCCGCTTCGCTGAGGTCGTCGACTTGGTCCGCAAGTGCCGAGAACGACGCAGTGTAATCTTGAACAGTAGTCACCTGCCGCCAGTTGCGCAGCTTCATACGAGCGTCGTCTGAGGCGGATGAATGCTCAAAACGAGCTCGCAGAGCTGTGCCCCACTGTTTCCACGTGCGAATCGTGGTCGTACCGAATATTGTTTCTGCCTGTTGGTTTGAAGAGTCTGAAGTCCCGTCCTTCGCCTGCTTCACTCCTGCCGGAGTCCCAATCGCCAACTGTCGTCGCCACCAATCCAACGCCGGTCCTCGGAGCAGCGACACGGCATAATTAATGCGCGCATCATCGGTGTGCACACTTGCCGCCGTGAAGAACAGCTCCATGCTGAACAGCCACCCTTGCACCGTCGTCGCCTTGTCCGAAGGGTTGAACGGGGGCGGTGTTGCTGGCTTGAGTTTAATCTTCGTTACGATCACAGTACGCACGTCGTCCTGCTCCAACTCCCGTGCGAGCTCGCAAGGACGGTTTCGCTCGCTGCGTCGTCGGCACTTTGCTTGACCTCGTCTTCGGCGACTCCAGGCGACTCCTGACGCGCTTCACCACGCGTCTGGCGAAGCTCGGTGTTCTCCGTCCGAAGTTTCACGACTTCACTGTTCAAACTCGCCATCTGGGCTTGCATTGCCTGCATCTGAGCCATGACCTCGTCTAGCTGGGCCTGGGACATGATGCGAATGCTACGCCTTTCGGGCAGGGGGAAGGCCGTGGTAAGAAACCGTAGGGGGCGCAAACGCTATCGTAGTTGTGTGAGCTAATAACTCTAGCTCACGGACAACCGCTTTGCAGCCCCGCAGGGTTAACCACGCCTTGGAAATAAACTACCCTGAGAAAGCGGGGTGAACCAGGAAAGTAGCTCTGATACCAGATGTTATGAATAATAACTCAGAGTGCGCGGAATAATAATGACGAGTACAAGAAGGATAGCCTAGCATTATATAGCGAGTGCTCTAGCTAGGCGACGAGCCCGGAGGGCTAGGTTGGGTACAGGCGCGGTCGAAAGGGTCGGAGGCGGCGCGGGCGTGCCTCGGGGCCGCGTCAGAAACGGACCGAGCCTGGTCTGCCGAGAGTTCGGGTGTACGCGATTGCAGTACAACCCGGTAAGGAATAAAATTCCTTACAGAGTTACAGGAAATTAGTGCTGTACATGCTCAATAGCTTCATTAGCAACTAACTGATGGGATGGGATGGCAGGGGCATTGGATCTCATGCATTAGCGCTTATTGAAAAAATTGTAGATAGCAGATAATATGAAACCAAGGACAGCACTTTAGCGAATCCAAGGAAATCACTCGCTCATCCTCGACATTTGCCTCCAAAACTCACAACCCAAAATCTTCACGGTGTTTTCGCCCATCTATGTAGATGCTGTGAAACTGGAGTGGAAAGGAGTGGCTCAGGCGCAAATCCAGCGCGCTGATTGGGTAATCGTGCACGTCGCCCCCCATCCGGGCAGAGCGCTGCTGCCCGCTCTTCCGCGATTCGCAGAAAATCGCTGCCCAAATAAAATGTGGGTGTAGTGGGGTGCTGCAGACTGGAACAGCGTGATGAAAAAAGCCCCAATCCCAAAACGTGCAATGAAACTAGCCAAATTCGCGCTAGGGTGCCGTAATGGCCCTACTCCAAGCTTTACTGGAGCGTATGGTATTTTATGGGCTGTTGAGCTACAGTAGTGTGGAATAACCTCCACCCAGATGCTGCTGAGCTGAGCCGAGTGGCAATGTACAGTATGTAGTGGAGGAATTTAGGAGGCATCCATCTGTCCATGCCTTAGTGGTTCGGGTCGGAATATTTATGCTCTGGACTTTCTGTACTTCCTGCTGTGCATGCTCGCTCTCTCCCCGTGCATTGCGCGCTCCACGCCGGCATTCCCAAGGTTATGTGCGGCCGTGGGTCAAGAGTTCCACGCGCGGATAAGCCGCTTGGCTTCCCTCATCCACGTCGCCTCGTGCTTTCAAGTTAACGTAGACGGATTCCGTTTACGCCCGCGTCTCGTCATCCGGCAGTTTCTGCGCTCGATCTGCTCATTCCGCTGCTCTGTTGACCTGCCTTTGCTCCTTCGCGGATCACGCCCTACTACTACCGCACAATCACGCGCTTACTCCTCTCCGCGTGAACCTGCACGTTCCGCCCGTCTGTGATCGCACGCGGACCAGACACACCGGACCCACATTGGCGCGTTCGCTCGTTCCGGAGCCCACCACTCCGCCATGGCCAGCAGTAGCGGCGGCGGCGGGAGCGGCGGAGGCAGTGCGCGGTCGGTGCGCGAGCTCAAGAGCATGTTCGGAAAGCCTGCCGCGCCGTCAGCCGCCGCTTACGTCAGCAAGCTGCAGGCCGTGACGGCTAAGGACCAGCCCGGGGGCCAGGGTGGCGGAAAACCGGCGGAGGATTCCCCCCTCTCCGCGGCGCAGCAGGCGTTCCGCTCCCCCTCGCCGCTGGCGCTTCCCCACCAGCAGGAGAAGGGGATTCCGGCCAGCGCCTCGCTTCCGCCAAATGCGCGTTCCGCCTCCCCTTCCCCCATCCCCGCGCGCACCATCCTCACCACCCCTTCCCAGCTCGCCCCCCAGCCTTCCCCCTCCCAACCCGCTGTCAGCAGCAAGCCTGCAGCGGGCGCGGAGGAGCGGGGCGGAGGCGGAGGGGCAGGCGGAAGGGAGGCGGGGACGGCTAGCGCGGTGCACACACAGGTGAGGGACCGGGGAGAGAGCAGAATCTGATGAGTGCACCTAGGCACGCTCTAGGCACCGTCCCTCCGCCCCCCCCCCCCCGCCCCCCCTGCAGCTGAGCAGCGACCAGGCAGTCCGCCTGGAGCAGGTGGAGGAGAGCGTGGAGGCCACCAGGTACGAGCTGATCCGCTTCCGTTCCTCCGTTCTCCTCCCCCTCTCCCCCAATTCCCCCTCTCCCCCAATTCCCCCTGCCAGCTGAGCAATCATCAAGCAGTCCGCCTGACGGAGGGGGGGGCGAGCCTGGAGGCCACCAGGTACGAGCTGACCCTCACCCGTTCCGCCTTGCCAACTACGACCACGCCATTCCCCCGTGCCCTCCGTCCGCCCTTTCTGCCAGCTGAGCAGCGACCAGGCAGCGCGCCTGAAGCAAGCAGAGGAGAGCCTCGAGGCGACCAACTACGAGCTGGCGGCGCTGCGGGCGAAGCACAACGAGAAGACGGCGCGGCTCAAGGCGCTGCAGGAGAGCAATGTGACGCTCAAGCACAAGGCCAAGGGGCTGGAGGTGAGTGAGCCACGTGGCATTCTGTGGGTGAGTAAGCCACGTGGCACTGCTGCAGCTGAGACACGTGGCACTGCTGCATTAGAAAACGCACTGGAGACGGCCCATGGCAGGGGTAGCGTTTCACGTTCACCCCACCACCTATCTCCACTCTCTCCTCCCATCTCCTCGCCTGGCGTCCTCTCAGGCTACCCTAACGGCGGCAGAGGCCGAGATAGCTCGATTCGAGGAGGAGAAGGAGGAGGTGCGGAGGAGGGTGGAGGAGGAGGAGGCGGGGAAGCGGGAGGCGGCCGTGCACAGTGCCCTGGAGCGGCAGCAGGAGGAGCGAATCGCCCCGCTGCAGTCCGCGCTAGAGACGCTGGACGCCGCCCATGAGGGCGCGATGAAAGAGCTGGTGCTGCTAAGAGAGTCTTTTAAAGCGGCGGTGGAAGAGGGTAAGCATTTGCGGGCGAGGCAGGCGGAGGGGGAGGCGCAAGTGGTGGCGCTTAGGGAAATGCAGGAGGTGGTTCTGGGGGACTTGGACTCGTTAAGAGCTCGCCATGATACAGTGTGTAAGGAGTTGGAGGAGGAGAGGGAGGGGAGGGAGAGGGAGAGGGGGGAAGGGAAGGAGTTGAGGGAGAGGGCGGAAAGATTGGAAATGGAGAATGCTAAGTGGGAGGGGAGGATGGCTGAGGAGAGGAGGTTGAGGGAGGAGTTGGGGGGGGAGGTGGAGAGAGAGAAGAGGGGGAGAGCAGAGGCAGAGGGGAGGTTGGAGGCGGCACGGGAGGAGAGAGAGGGGGAGAAGAAGGCGAGAGAGGAGGTGCAAGAGGTGTGTGAGGGGTTGAGGAAGGATATAGAGCGGTTGGAGGGAGAGGTGGGGGCGTTAAAGGCAGGGAGAGACGAGGTGGGGAGGCTACTGGCTGGGGCTGAGGCGGGAAGGGAGGAGGAGGCAAAGGCGGTGGAGCGAGTGAGAGAGGAGAAAGAGGAGGCGGAGAAACAGCTGGGGGGGTTGAGAGAGGAGCACGGGAGGGTACAGGGGGAGCTGGATGCGCTAAAAGAGAAGCACACTAGCAAGGAGGCGGCGTTTGATACGCTAGTGGTGAGCCATGGTGCCATGGCTGCTGCTGTGGAGGCGATGAGGGGCGAGATGGAGGAGAAGGCTCGGCAGGCGGAGGCTGCTGCCAAGACTGCGGACGAGGCTCGGCAGCAGATGCTGGAGGCTCGGGCCGAGGCTGAGAAGGTGCAGGGGGAACTGGAGAAGGTGGTATCTGAGGTGGGGAAGGTGAGGGGGGAATTGGCGGATAGGGAAAAGGAGGTGGGGGAGATGAGGGAGAGGCATGAGAGAGATGCAAGAGAGAGGGGGGAGGAGGTGGAGAGGCAGCTGGGTGTGTTGAGGGGTGAGTTGGAGGAGAGTAGGAAGAAGGGAGAGGAGGTTGAGAAGAGGTTGGGGGAAGAGAGGGAGGCGAGAGAAGAGGCGGAGAGGGCGAGGAGGGAAACAGGGGAGGAGGTGAGGAGAAAGGAAGAGCAACTGGTGACGGAGAGAGAGGAGCGGAAGGGCGACGTGGAGCGGTTTAGAGAGGCACAGGAGCAGCTGGAGGAGAGGAGGAGGGAGGCGGAGGGTGAGGTGATGAGAGTGAGTGAGGAAGTTGAGAGGGTGAGGAGGGAGTGTGAGGAGAGGAGGAAAGAGGCCGAGGAGAGGAGGAGGGAAGTAGAGGTGAAGAGTGAGGAGGTAAGGGTGTTGAAGGGTGCAGTAGAGGCGTTAAGGGAAAAGGAGGAAGTATTGAGAGGGAAGGTGGAGGAGTTGGGGAGAGAGGTGGAGCGAGTGAGGGGGGAGTTGGAGGGAGTGAGAGGGGAGAGGGAGGAGGGGAGGAAGAGAGAGGAGGAGCTGAGGGCGCAGTTAGAAGCAGCGAAGGTGGAAGCTTCCGGGAAGCAAGCAGAGCTGGTGGCGCGAGTTGAAGAGGCGGTGAGAGGGAGAGAGGCGGCGGAGAGAGAAGGGGAGGAGAGGGGGAGGGAGAGAGATGAGGTGAGGGAAGCACTGTGGAAGGAGAAGGGGAGGGTGGAGGTGGGGGAGGAGAGAGTGAGGGGGCTGGAGAGGGAGGTGGAGGAGGTGAGGAGGGGGAGGGAGGAGATGGGAATGAGGGTGGAGCAGCTAGAGAAGAGGTTGGAAGAAGCTGGTGCTGAGGTGGCGGCAGCTCAGGCTGATGTGGCGAAGCGTGTGGATGAGGTGGCGAGGCTGAAGGCTGAGGTGGATAAGGGGGGGGTTGAGCTGGATGGTGTGAGGAAGGAGTTGGAGAGGGAGAGAGAGCAGCACAGGGAGGCACGGGAAGGCCTAGAGGGGTTGAGGGAGCAGCATGGGAAGCTGCAGGGGGAGAAAGAGGGTCTAGCTGGCTTGCACGCAAAGCTGGAGGAAGAGCAGAGAGAGTTGAAGGGGCGGTGGGAGGAGGTGGGGAGGGAGAGGGAGGAGGAGCGAGTAAAACATGCAGCTGCTTTGGCACGGTTGGAAGGGCTGCAGAGGGAGTTAGAGGGGTTGAGAGAGAGCGAGGAGGCGAGGAGGAGAGAGGTGGAGGATTTGAGAGAAAGAGTGAGTGAGGCAGGGAGGGAGTTCGCAGAATGGAAGAGCAAAAGTGCTGAGCTGGAAGAGGGGAAGAGCCAGCTCAGCGCCAGGCTGGCACAGGTAGAAGCTGACCTGGCAGCATCGCTGGCAGCTGCTAAATTGGCAGCAGCAGAGGAGGCGGAGCGGGTGAGGGAAGAGGTCCGGGTGGCTCGGGCCGAGGCTGATCAGCTTCGGGGAGAGGTGGTTCGGCAGACAGCCGAGGCTGAGGCTCGGGAAGAAGCGCGGAGAGTGTGGGAGGGGAAGTATCGGGAGGCAGTGGCAGAAGGGGAGGGGAGGAAGCAGGAAGCAGAGAAGTCAGCTGCTGAGCTGGATAAGATGAAAGCTGAGCTGGCGGTGGCCATGGGTGAGGTGGCAGTGGTGTCAGCTGCGCTGGCAACCGCAAAGGTTGAGACTGAGGGGGTGAGGAAGAAACAGGAGGAGGCAGAGAGGGAGGTGCAACTGGTGCAGGTGCAACTGAGAGATGCGAAGGGGGAAGTGGAGGTGGCAAAACGAGGGATAGTAGAGGCAAGGAGTCTTGGGGATGGGGAGAAGGGAAAGGCAGAGAGCGCTCTGAAGCAAGCAGCAGCGGCGTGGGAGGAGGTGGGGAGGTGGAAGGGGCAGGCAGAGAGGAGCAAAGCGGATGTGGAGTTGCTAGAGAGGGAAGTCAAGGCGCAGGAGGGGAAGATAGAGGCTCTGAGAGGGGAGGTGAGAGAGAGGGAGAGTGAGCTGGCGCTGCTGCAGCAGGAGGTGGAGAGAGTGAGAAAGGAGATGGAGGAAGTGAGTGTGAGGGAGGAGGAGGTGGCAGTAACGGTAAATAGGGTAACTGGGGAGGAGCAGCGGAAGGCTGTTGAGGCGGAGGAGAGGTGTGGGGAGGCGGTGAGGGCGAGAGAGAGGGTGGAGGAGAGAGTGAGGGAGGTGGAGGGGGAGGTGGAGAGAGTGAGGGGGGAGAAGGGGAGGATGGAGGAGGAGCTGGTGAGTGTGAGGGTGAGGATTGGGGAGGCGGAGAGGGAAGTGGAAGAGTTGAGCAAGGAGAGGGAGGAGAGGGGGCAAGAGGTCGAAGATTTGAAGGGGAAGCTGGAAGAAGGGCTCACTGAGGTGGCAGCGCTCCGTGCTGACCTGGCTGCTGTCCAATCCGAGGTGGCAAGCAAGCAGGCTGAGCTGGAGAAGCAGGCATCTGAGCTGGCAGCAGCGAGTGGAGAGCTCGAGAAGGAGAAAGCAGCGCATGCAGTGGTGGCTGCAGAAATGGGAGGTATCAAGTCTCTGTATGCCCTGCTGCAAGAGGAGCATGGGAGAGTGGTATCAGAGCAGGAGAGGCTGGTAGGGGCATATGCGAGGGAGGTGGAGGAGAAGGGGGAGGTGAGGGCAGAGAAAGCAGCACTCGCTGCTAAGGTTGCCGAGATGGAGGCTCGGGTTGAAGTCGTGAAGGAGGAACAGGCTCGGGCGGCTGCCGAGGCTGAGGAGGCTCGGAGCAAAGTCAAGGCCGAAGCTGAGGAGGCTCGGCTGGAGCTGGTTCGGAGGGAGGAGGAAGTGAAGCTGCTGAGGCAGCAGAGAGAGGAGGAGGTTGAAGCATTGAAGCAGCAGCAGCAACAGCAGGAGGAGATTCAAGCATTGAAGCAGCAGCAGCAACAGCAGGAGGAGATTCAAGCATTGAAGCAGCAGCAGCAACAGCAGGAGGAGATTCAAGCATTGAAGCAGCAGCAGCAACAGCAGGAGGAGATTCAAGCATTGAAGCAGCAGCAGCAACAGCAGGAGGAGATTCAAGCATTGAAGCAGCAGCAGCAACAGCAGGAGGAGATTCAAGCATTGAAGCAGCAGCAGCAACAGCAGGAGGAGATTCAAGCATTGAAGCAGCAGCAGCAACAGCAGGAGGAGATTCAAGCATTGAAGCAGCAGCAGGCTGCAGGTGCGAAAGATGCAACCACTTGGAAGAGAATGGCTGACACGCAAGCTGCTGAGCTGGCAACCGTCAAGGCTGAGCTGGCAGCTGCCCATGCTGAGCTGGCCGAAGTGAAGGTGGAACGTGAGGATAAGGTGCGTGAGCTGGCAGCAGCTGCTGACGAAGCAGAGGCGAAGGGGATCGCAGTGAAGGAGAGGGAGGAGATCTGCAGCAAGCTGTCAGCTGAGCTGGAATCGCTGAAGGCTGAGCTGGAAACTCGTAACGCTGAGCTGGCAGCGCTGACAGTAAAAGACGAGGGGATAGCAGCGGCAGTGAGGGAGCAGATACAGGCCCGGAGTGAAGCAGAGGGGCAGGTGAGAGATGCGCAGAGGGAGGTGCAGCTGGTGCAGGCTCAGCTGGGGGAGGTGCGGACTGAGTGTGAGGGGTTGAAGGAGGTTATGGAGAGGCTGGGGAGGGAGGTAGAGGAGGGGAGGAGGGTGGTGGGGGAGAGGGAGAGGGAGGTGGAACGGTTAGCGGGGGAGGTGGAGAGGGGGAGGGTTGAGGCTGCAAGGGCTGGGGGGAGAGAGGAGGTGCTGCAAGGGACAGTGGCTGCAATGACTGCGGAGCTGGGTGCTCTGAGGAAGGAGCTTGAGGAAGAGAGGGGAAGGTTCGCCACTCGTGTTGACGCTGCTGCTGTTGCTGCTTCTGCTGACGTGGCGTCGGCTGCTGCGCTGTCGGAATCGCTGCGTGCCAGGCTGGCAGCAGCGGAGGCACGAGAGAAGGAGCTAGAGGCGAGGGTGGGGGAGAAAGAGAGAGAGTTAGTGCAAAGGGTAGAGGAGAAAGAGCAAGAGCTGGTGAAGAAGGTAGAGGAGAGGGAACAGGAGATGGTGAGGAGGGTGGAGGAGGAGGAGGTGAGGGCAGGAGCAGCTGTGAGAGCAGCGGAGCAGAGAGAGAAGCAGCTGGTGCAGAGGGTGGAGGAGGAGGAGGCAAAGGCGGCAGCGGCGATGGCAGGAGGGGAGGCAGCGGTAGCAGAGGCGGGCGCTCTGAAAGCCGAGCTAGAGGCAGTGCGAGCAGAGCTGGAAGCAGCACAAGGAGAAGCGGAGGCTAGGGAAGCAGAGTTGAAGGCAGCACAAGCCGAGGCAGAGTCAACGAGGGGCGCGCTGAGAGCAGCGCAGGGAGAAGCGAAGGCAGTGCAGGCGCAAGTGGCGGTGCTGACAGCGGACGGGGAGCAGCTGAGGGACGCCTTGGGGGAGGTGAGCCGGATGAAAGAGGCCCTGCAGGGGGAGGCGAAGGCTGTGCAGGGACAAGTGGCAGCGCTTACTGCCGATGGGGAGCAGCTGAGGGACGCGCTGGGCGAGGTGCAGCGGCAGCTGCGCGTGATGACCCGGCTCAAGGAGGCCCTGGAGGGCGAGGTGAGGAAGTGGCGCGAAGAGGCGGTGATCCGACAGAAGGTGGAGGGCGAGGGGGAGAGTGGACGGGGGGAGAGAAGGGTGAGTGGCATGTGGCGCAGTGCCATCGATGGCGCTCTCCTGCTGCAGCAGCACGGGCAGCAGCATCAGCAGGGGCAGCAGCAGCAGCAGGGGCAGCGGAGGCTGGTATCGAGCATGTCAGTTGACAGCACCCAGCTACAGCGACATCTGCCACAGAGCACCAGTGGAGATGCTCTTACTCCTGCTCCACCTGCTGCTGCCCCTGCCCCAGTTATCACCTCCACTTCAGATGCACCTACCCCAGGCGGCACTACCACCAGCACCTTAACTGCAGCAGCTGCACCTACAGCAGCAGCAGCCTCCCCTGCCGCCTCGCTGCCACCTCGCCCCACCACTCCAGCCTCGGCTCCTCCCAAGGTCTCCCATGGCTCCCAGCCCGTCCCACTGCTCGCCCTGCCTACTCACGCCGCTGCCTCTCCTAGTAACACCATTGGGACGTCTCACCCAGACAACCACCCAGCTGCTGCTGCTGCTGCTGCTGCTGCTGCTGCGGATGGCACAGCAGCAGGTGCAGGCCCAGGCCCAGGCTCAGAGCACGTGTCCGCGGAGCAGGTGATGCTGCGTGCAGGTGCTCCAGTGGTGGGAGAAGGTGATGTGATTGGAGGAGGCATTCGCCCGGATACCGCTGCCTCCGCCCCTCACCCGGCCACTCCCGCCCCTGCCACGCCAGTCGTCCCTCCCACTGCGCCCAGCCCGCACACCATTCCTCACTCTGCGACAGCCTCTCGCAGTGGCTCCCTCACTCCCACCCTCGGCTTCACCCATTTCATCCATCGCGCAAAGACCGAGTCTAGCAAGGCCCGCCCCTCCTCAGCTGATTTCTCCTCGGTTGTAAAAGCGGTTCGACTTGCCTCGGCCTTCCGTAGCCCTGGGAAAGGCAACGCCAGCCCTGCAGGTCAGGGAAGCCCAAGCCGGAGCCACAGGCCCGGGAGCCCAGGTACGGCGAGTGCAGGGTCGAAGGCAGGTAGTAGTGGGGGAGGGACGCTGAGGAGGATTGGCACGGGGATGGTGGGACGGTGGAGAGGTGGGGGTCACAGTGGTGGTTTAGCCACTGGGGTCAGTGGTGCAGAGCCCCAGGCTGATTCAGAGGATGTTCAGCCTGCATCTGCACCTCACAGTCAGAGTGATCTGCACTAGGCCTTGGTCGCAGGAAGTCAATACTTGTGCCAAGTTTAGTTGGTAGGTTGGCTGAGTTGGTTAGCCTTACATTGTGGTTTGTGACTTGATACAGTGTTGGGTCGTATGGTAGCGAAAACCCTAGTGTGACGGGTAGAATGTAGGTCAAATTTTTATTGTGATTTGATGTAGTATTGTAGTATTACTATATTTCGTCCACTGAAGTCCTGTCGTGGTTTTACCTCTTTAACGAATCACTCACTGAGTCGCTCAGGGTCTGGAGAGAACTCCTGGATTCTGGCGCGCGGTTCGCATGGCGGCTGCTGACTTGGCCACTTCGGCGGGAATTTACAACTGACCGTGCTTGGCTAGAGCCTTTGAGTTGCTGGTGTCCAGCACGTTGGATTTACGCGATCGCTGGCTCCACGCGCTCTCCTGTGGACAAGGAAGATTTTGTCGGAACCCCACACCTGCCCGAACCCTGAACCCAAGGTGCCGTTTACGGGTGTCGTTGGTGGATTCGCAGATGTTCCCTTCCGTCCCATTCCGTTCCGCTCGCTCCAGCTCCCAGGGCTGCGGAAAACACACCACCACCACCACCATCACGCCCTCTTGACCTGGATTCAAGTTGCGGACGGCACCGCGTTATTGGTTTCGGTTGGGCGTCCTTCCAGTTTCGTTTTGTTCCAAGCACGGGCAGGCAGCGCCGCAGCGTCCGCCATAGCAGGCCTCTGCTCCGCTGTACATGTGACTGTCGTCTCGTCGTCAGCCAGCCTCTTTGCCTCAGCTCAGCTCATCCCTGGCCGACAAGCCGAAGGCACATGCTGCTAAGCTGGTCATTTATCTACAGCGGAAGCAGTGCTACTAATAGAGGTCCATATATTTCCTTCATTCCAGCTTCAGCTTGGAGATTCAACACTAGAGAATAGTTTAAATTCCTCCGACTGATATACTTCTTTGGGATTCTCACGTCGCTGAGGCTACGTGTATTTGGAGTTTTAGGGTCCGACAATAAACCTTAGCTTAGCATGTTGGGCGGCTTTCGAATTCCTCTAGGGCTTATCCCAGCGTCGGTGTCTTTAGCCGCGATAGCTCTAACAGCTGCAGCTTTCAGCGACAAATACCAAACGCTACTTAAGTGGCTTCCGTGGCCTCTATCCGCGGTGCTAGCGACTTTTAGGGAAGGGAAGAAAAGATTAGGGATGACCGACGCGCGACGACGGCCCGTGCGAGTGTACATGGACGGGTGCTTCGACATGATGCACTACGGCCACGCGAACGCGCTGCGACAGGCGAAGGCGCTCGGCGACGAGTTGGTGGTCGGGGTGGTGTCGGACGAAGAGATCCTCTTGAACAAGGGCCCGCCCGTCGTGTCGCTTGAAGACAGGTGCGCTCTCCGGCCGGTGCCGTCTTTTTAATCGTTAAAAGGGAAAATACAGACTTAGAGACAGGTGAGGTCAATCTTACCTCTTCGTCGCTGTTCGGCGCAGCAGCCGGATCATCGCTGCTTTTCCCAGCAGCCGGATCATCGCGGTGCTGGGATCTGGAGGAGGCCTCCTAATCTCTTCATCTGTCCGACCTCTCCGTGCTACCCCCACACTCTTCCCCCACTCCCACACGCGCCCCCACCCCCATCCCCACCCCCACCAACACCCGCACCTCCCTTCGTGCTGCATCACGCCGGCCTCCCTCAACACCCTCTTCCCGCAGCACCGCGTCTTGACGCCCCTCACGACACCCTCTCCCCCCCCCTCCCCCCTCCTCCCCCCTCTTCCCCCCGCGCTTCCCCAATGCAGGGTGCGCATGGTGCGCGAGGTGAAGTGGGTGGACGAGGTGGTAGTCGGCACGCCGTACTGCATCACCCCCGACTTCCTGCACCGCCTCTTCACGCGCCACGGCGTCGACTTCATCATCCACGGCGACGACCCCTGCCTGCTGCCCGACGGCTCCGACGCGTACGCGGAGGCGAAGCAGGCGGGGCGGTACCTGGAGGTGAAGCGCACGGAGGGGATCTCCAGCACGGATATCGTGGGGCGGATGTTGTTGTGCGTGGGGAGCAGGGCGGCGGCGACAGAGGCGCAGCAGCAGCAGTCGCTGGAGCGGGAGTTTGTTCACACGGGGTCGCCCGCAGAGAGGTGTCACCGCAGTGGGTCGCCCGCAGAGAGGTGTCACCGCAGTAGATCGCCCCCAGAGAGGTGTCACCGCAGTGGGTCGCCCGCAGAGAGATGTCACCGCAGTGGATCGCCCGTAGAGAGATGTAACCCTTCTGGGTCGCCCGCAGAGAGATGTAACCGTTCTGGGTCGCCCTCGCTCCCTTCTCGCCCCGCCTCCCCGCTCCCACCGCCGGCTATATCCTCCTCCTCCGCCCCTCCTGTGCCATACTCACCCCTGCGACCCTCTCTCCTTCCGCCCTCCTCCTCCTCCCCAGCCCTTGCGTGCTCGCCTCCCCCTCCGTCCTCTGCTCCCCGCTCCTTGCCTCTTGATACTGAACCCGGCTCACCACCTTCAAGCGCCCCTGCCGATCCCCCCCTCCCCATCAGCTCTCCCCCCTCCTCCCCGACCCACCCCTCCAACTCATCTTTGCCCCTACTCTCGCACTCCCCTCCGCCACTAACACCGGCGCTACCCCCCTCCCCTTCCGCCTCATCCCTCCCCTCCTCCGCCTCCTCCAATTCCCTCTGGGCCCTCTCCTCCCCCTCCTCCTCCTCCGCCTCTTCCCCGCTCCTTCCCCCCTCCCTCGCGCCCCTGGCCTCTGCGCGCGTCTCGCGCTTCCTCCCCGCCACTTCCACCGTCCTCGAGCTAAGCAGCCAGCAGGTGGGCTTTTGGAAAAGGGAAAAGGAGGGGGGGGGGAGGGAGGGGGAGAAGTTGGAGGCTGAGGGGGGAAGACGGGTAGGAGGTGAGGATGGGAGGGCGGCAAAGTAAGGCCGTTCTCGAATTAAGAAGCCAGCAGGCTGGTTGGGGGGGTTTGGGTGGGGGAAACGGTTGGGAGGTGAGACTGCGAGTTGGAAAACAGGGGTGGCAAAGTGAAGGCTTTCTTAGTACTTCTCCCCTGTCACCATCTCCTTCCGTGCCTCCTCTGCCGCCCTCATATCCCCACCCTCTACTTTCTCCCCCTCCGCCCCCCTCCCCTCCCCCAGCCGTGCAGTGTTGGCCCATCAGCGCGAGTGGTGGTGGATTGATCCATGCTCCTCTGTTCCCCTCACTCCGCTTACCCGACCTCCCCCCACATTCCCCCCTCTCTCCCCCCACATTCCCCCCTCTCTCCCCCCAGGCGCACAGCATAGACCCATCAGCGCGAGTGGTATACATCGATGGGGCGTTCGACGTCTTCCACAGCGGCCATGTGCAGGTGGGGGTCGTGCATGTGCAGTTGTTTCGTGTTTAGGGCTCATGCATGTGCCGGAGTTGGGGTTTTAGGGCCCACGCATGTGCTGGGGCTTGGGGTTTAGGGCCCACGCATGTGCTGGGGCTTGGGGTTTAGGGCCCACGCATGTGCGGGGGGTTGGGGTTTAGCGCCCATGCATGTGCAGGTGCTTAGGGTATAGGGCTCATGCATGTGCTGGTGGGCTCAGTTACATGCCTTTCCAGATTCTTTCCACGCATCAGGGGCATGCGTTCACCTCCCCTCTGCTCATTCCCCATCCATGCCCCCTACCCATGCCCCCCATTGCAACCAGACACTCCGAGCAGCGAAGGGACTGGGCACGTTTCTGCTGGTGGGCGTGCACAGTGACGCCACCGTCAGAGCCAACCGCGGGCAGCACCACCCCATCATGGGCATGCATGAGCGCTGCCTCTCGCTGCTGGCGTGCCGCAGCGTGGATGAGGTCGTGCTGGACGCCCCGTGGGTGGTGTCCAACGAGCTGGTGAGTCCTGGTTGTGCTGGTGTCTACTGGTAGTGTCCACCCCATGATGGGCATGCACGAGCGCTGCCTGTCTCTTCTGGCGTGCCGCAGCGTAGATGAAGTCGTGCTGGACGCCCCGTGGGTCGTCTCACACCAGCTGGTACGTATGGCCTTCGGGTGCTTGCTGTGCCATGGTGCTAGCAGGCGTGTGGGCATGTGGGCATGTGTGCATGTGCGCATGTGGGCATGTGTGCATGTGCGCATGTGGGCATGTGTGCACGTGGGCATGTGGGCATGTGGGCATGTGGGCATGTGGGCATGTGGGCATGTGGGCATGTGGGCATGTGCGCATGTGGGCATGTGGGCATGTGGGCATGTGGGCATGTGGGCATGTGCACATGTGCACATGTGGGCATGTGGGCATGTGCGCATGTGTGCATGTGCGCATGTGCGCATGTGCGCATGTGCGCATGTGGGCATGTGTGCATGTGGGCATGTGGGCATGTGTGCATGTGGGCATGTGTGCATGAGTGCATGTGGGCATGAGTGCATGTGTGCATGCTCTGCCCGTGTCATACCCTCGCAAAGCATGTCTCTGTTTCTGTGCTGCTCTCTGCTGCTCTGCATTCTCCAACTCTCATTCCGCTCTTGCACTTGTGCGTGCATGGCGGTGCAGATATCACCTGATTAATCGCTTGCTGTGCACGGGACATTTATTTAGGCACCTGATTAATCGCTCCACTCCATTTTGTTCCTTTGCCGGGCAGATATCAGCGTATAACATCTCCCTCGTTGTGCACGGGACTGTGGCCGAGTCAAACCCTCTCTGTCAGGTACGCACGCTTCACGTCTCCGCCTCTGTCCCCCCCTGCCCGCCATCCCTATGCCCCATCTCCCCTGCGCCATGCGCTGTGCCCCATGCCCCATGTTGCCCCATTCCCCATGCCCCGTGCCCCATGCCCCATGCCCCATGCCCCATGCCCCATGCCCCATGCGGCATGCCCCATGCCCCATGCAGCATGCCCCATGCCCCATGCCCCATGCCCCATGCCCCATGCCCCATGCGCCATGCCCCATGCCCCATGCCCCATGCCCCATGCGCCATGCGCCATGCGCCATGCCCCATGCCCCATGCAACCATGCCCCATGCCCCATGCCCCATGCCCCATGCCCCACGCCCCATGCCCCACGCCCTATGCCCCATGCCCCATGCCCGATGCCCGATGCCCCATGCCCCATGCCCCATGCGCCATGCGCCATGCCCCATACCCCATGCGCCATGCGCCATGCCCCATGCCCCATGCCCCATGCCCCATGCCCCATGCCCCATGCCCCATGCCCCATGCCCCACGCCCCACGCCCCAGGCCCCATGCCCCATGCCCCATGCGCCATGCCCCATGCCCCATGCCCCATGCCCCATGCGCCATACCCCATGCCCCATGCCCCACGCCTCACGCCCCACGCCCCACGCCCCATGCCCCATGCCTCATGCCCCATGCCCCATGCCCCATGCCCCATGCCCCATGCCCCATGCCCCATGCCCCATGCCCCATGCCCCATGCGCCATGCCCCATGCCCCATGCCCCATGCTCCATCCGCCATATCCCATGCGCCATGCGCCATGCCCCATGCCCCATGCCCCATGCCCCATGCCCCATGCCCCAAGCCCCATGCGCCATGCGCCATGCCCCATGCGCCATGCCCCATGCGCCATGCCCCATGCGCCATGCGCCATGCCCCATGCGCCATGCGCCATGCCCCATGCCCCATGCCCCATGCCCCATGTCCCATGCGCCATGCGCCATGCCCCATGGGCCATGCGCCATGCCCCATCCGCCATGCGCCATGCCCAATGCCTCATGCCCCATGCCCCATGCCCCATGCCCCATGCCCCACGCCCCATGCCCCATGCCCCATGCCCCATGCCCCATGCCCCATGCCCCATGCGCCATGCCCCATGCCCCATGGTCCATCCGCCATATCCCATGCGCCATGCGCCATGCCCCATGCCCCATGCCCCATGCCCCATGCCTCATGCCCCATGCGCCATGCGCCATGCCCCATGCCCCATGCGCCATTCCCCATGCGCCATGCCCCATGCGCCATGCGCCATGCCCCATGCCCCATGCCCCATGCCCCATGTCCCATGCGCCATGCGCCATGCCCCATGCGCCATGCGCCATGCCCCATGCGCCATGCGCCATGCCCCATCCGCCATGCGCCATGCCCCATGCCTCATGCCCCATGCCCCATGCCCCATGCCCCATGCCCCACGCCCCATGCCCCATGCCGCATGCCCCATGCCCCATGCCCCATGCCCCATGCCCCATGCCCCATGCCCCACGGCCCATGCCCCATGCCCCATGCTCCATGCCCCATGCCCCATGCCCCATGCCCCATGCCCCACGCCCCATGCCCCATGACCCATGCCCCATGCCCCAATCCCCATGCCCTATGCCCCATGACCCATGCCCCATGCCCCATGCCTCATGCCCCATGCCCCATGCCCCATGCCCCATGTCATGTTTCAAGTCTCCTAATTCCTTCATGGCTTTCATTTCGATTTCCAGCCGAGTGCCCATGGCATGTGTACCTCACCTCATCCCTGTTACCCATGGCACACGCTCCTCACTCATGCCTGTTACCCATGGCACACGCACCTCACCTCATGCCTGTTACCCATGGCACATGCACCTCACCTCATGCCTGTTACCCATGGCACATGCACCTCACCTCATGCCTGTTACCCATGGCACATGCACCTCACTCATGCCTGTTACCCATGGCACACGCACCTCACCTCATGCCTGTTACCCATGGCACATGCACGTCACCTCATGCCTGTTACCCATGGCACATGCACCTCACCTCATGCCTGTTACCCATGGCACATGTGCCTCACCTCATGCCTGTTACCCATGGCACATGCACCTCACCTCATGCCTGTTACCCATGGCACATGCACCTCACCTCATGCCTGTTACCCATGGCACATGCACCTCACCTCATGCCTGTTACCCATGGCACATGCACCTCACTCATGCCTGTTACCCATGGCACATGCGCCTCACCTCATGCCTGTTACCCATGGCACATGCGCCTCACCTCATGCCTGTTACCCATGGCACATGCACCTCACCTCATGCCTGTTACCCATGGCACATGCACCTCACCTCATGCCTGTTACCCATGGCACACGCACCTCACCTCATGCCTGTTACCCATGGCACACGCACCTCACCTCATGCCTGTTACCCATGGCACATGCACCTCACCTCATGCCTGTTACCCATGGCACATGCACCTCACCTCATGCCTGTTACCCATGGCACATGCACCTCGCCTCATGCCTGTTACCCATGGCACATGCGCCTCACCTCATGCCTGTTACCCATGGCACATGCAACTCACCTCATGCCTGTTACCCATGGCACATACATCTCACCTCATGCCTGTTACCCATGGCACATGCACCTCACCTCATGCCTGTTACCCATGGCACATGCACCTCACGCCATGCCTGTTACCCATGGCACATGCACCTCACCTCATGCCTGTTACCCATGGCACATGCACCTCACCTCATGCCTGTTACCCATGGCACATGCAACTCACCTCATGCCTGTTACCCATGGCACACGCACCTCACCTCATGCCTGTTACCCATGGCACATGCGCCTCACCTCATGCCTGTTACCCATGGCACATGCGCCTCACCTCATGCCTGTTACCCATGGCACATGCACCTCACCTCATGCCTGTTACCCATGGCACATGCACCTCACCTCATGCCTGTTACCCATGGCACACGCACCTCACTCATGCCTGTTACCCATGGCACATGCGCCTCACCTCATGCCTGTTACCCATGGCACATGCGCCTCACCTCATGCCTGTTACCCATGGCACATGCACCTCACCTCATGCCTGTTACCCATGGCACATGCACCTCACCTCATGCCTGTTACCCATGGCACACGCACCTCACCTCATGCCTGTTACCCATGGCACATGCGCCTCACCTCATGCCTGTTACCCATGGCACATGCGCCTCACCTCATGCCTGTTACCCATGGCACATGCACCTCACCTCATGCCTGTTACCCATGGCACATGCACCTCACCTCATGCCTGTTACCCATGGCACACGCACCTCACCTCATGCCTGTCACCCATGGCACATGCACCTCACCTCATGCCTGTTACCCATGGCACATGCACCTCACCTCATGCCTGTTACCCATGGCACATGCACCTCACCTCATGCCTGTTACCCATGGCACATGCACCTCACCTCATGCCTGTTACCCATGGCACATGCACCTCACCTCATGCCTGTTACCCATGGCACATGCACCTCACCTCATGCCTGTTACCCATGGCACATGCGCCTCACCTCATGCCTGTTACCTATGGCACATGCGCCTCACCTCATGCCTGTTACCCATGGCACATGCGCCTCACCTCATGCCTGTTACCCATGGCACATGCACCTCACCTCATGCCTGTTACCCATGGCACACGCACCTCACCTCATGCCTGTTACCCATGGCACACGCACCTCACCTCATGCCTGTTACCCATGGCACACGCACCTCACCTCGTGCCTGTTACCCATGGCACATGCACCTCACCTCATGCCTGTTACCCATGGCACATGCACCTCACCTCGTGCCTGTTACCCATGGCACATGCACCTCACCTCATGCCTGTTACCCATGGCACATGCACCTCACCTCATGCCTGTTATGCATGGCATGTGCGCATCGCATTCTATTTCCGGCCATGCCAAGCATTGCATCTTCTCAGTTTCCTGGTTTTTCATCCCCCAGATTCGTTCCGTCACCCTCCTTTCGCTCTCCCCTCCCCCCCCTTCCTTCCCCAACTCCCCCCCCCGGCGTTTGCCCACTGCGCCCTGACTGATAACAGGACGAGCAGCAGTGGTACGTGGCACTGGGGGTGAGGGGCAGGGTGAGGGAGGTGCAGAGCGCGGCACAGGCCACGTCGTGGGGCGCCTCAAGCCACCCCAACAACCACCTTGGCTGCCCCTTGCGTGCGCCCTCTGGTCCCCACCTCCCTCCTCCCACCGCCCCCTGATAGAAGTCTAGTTTCGAGGCGCCTCATAACTAGACTTCTATCACGCGGTTTTGAGGCGCCTCAAAACTAGACTTCTATCACGCCTCAAGCCACCCCAACAACCACCTTTGCTTCCCCTTGCGTGCACCCTCTGGTTTCCGCCTCCCTCCTCCCACCGCCCCCTGGCGGATAGCAAGAGGAGCAGCAACGGTACACGACACCAAGGGCTCGAAGCATGGTGAGGGAGGCGCAGTACACACCACGATCGATGACGTTTCAAAACACACCCTCGTCCGCCGTTGCATGTACCTCCCCCCTACCCGCCATGCGTCTTGGCAGGACGAGCAGCAGCGGTATGCGGCACCCAGGGCACGGCACATGGTGAGGGAGGTGCAGAGCGCAGCAGAGACCACCACAACCACCATCGTGACCAGAATCGTTGACAACCACCATGCGTACATGGTGAGTAATGTGGCTGGCGTGCATTCACTGCAAGTACCGCCGTAGCAACCACCATCGTGCCCCGCATTGTTGGCAACCACATGCCGTGCATTGTGAGAACCAGACGCCACTACCATCTCCCTCCCATCTCTTGCCTGCTGGTCGCATCCGAGTCAGCTGCCTCTGTCTACCCCCCTGACTGCGAGTCAGCTGCCTCTGTCTACCCCCCTGACTGCGAGTCAGCTGCCTCTGTCTACCCCCCTGACTGCGAGTCAGCTGCCTCTGTCTACCCCCCTGACTGCGAGTCAGCTGCCTCTGTCTATCCTCCCCTGACTGTGAGCCAGCTGCCTCTGTCTACCCCCCCATCCCCCTCCCCCCCCTCCCCCCCCCCCCTCCTTTGCGTGTGTGATGCAGCGACGCAACGCCAAGAAGGCAGTGAGCGACCGAGAGTACTTGGAGGGAAAGAGAGCAGCAGCACAGGCTGCCTCATAACAACGGCAGGCAGTGCGACATGGCACCACCTGTATTGGTACAGCTCTATGGCAGTGTAGCCTTAGGCAGAGCTAGAGCCCTAGGCGCCAGACTTCCACTGTAACAGACCCAGCCAGCAACATGGCATCTTTGGAGCTGTCTGTTGGTATGGTATTGCTGCCTTTCAATAACGTTCAGGTACACCAAATGTTAGGAGAGGCAGAACTACCACTGGTGTGTGGTCAGCACTTGCTGTGTCTTATGTCCATCCCTCCCTCCCAGGGAAGAGTTGAGAGGTCCTCCATGGGTATTGTTGCAGACTCCATCACTTGCTGTGTCTTATCTGAGTTGCGGTTGAGGGGCATAGGCCTTACCCACAGTGCAAGTGGGGCACCTGTTGCTCGCGTGGTGCACACCAAGTAGACAAGACGGGGGGCCGCTAGGGCTGGGACCCTCTAGCCTAGAGAGTGCTTTGATACTCCTCAGCGGGAGGATCGAGGTGAGGAGGAGCATAGCCAACAGCCTAGCCAGCAACAGTAATGGTTGATGGTCGGCAGTAGCCATGCCAACTACAAACCACACGTGGGGCACTCTAGAGTGCATCGATGCTTCTCTGAGGAAAGGTTCAGGCTGAGTGGCAGCAGAGGCATTAGCTAGTACAGTAGTATCAGTAGCTGGTTGGCGATGGCATTACCCAACCAAGTCCCTCACAAAGCACGTGTGGTGTTCTCTAGAGTGTGTATGTACGGTATGACAATGCGCCTTCTGGTTACTTGGGCCGAGCAGCAGCAGAGGCGTTAGCCAGTAGTGGCAGATGGAAAGCAATTGCAGTGGTGGCTAATGTCCCTCACAAATCAGTTGAGGGGCTCCTTCTCTAAAGCGTCTTCATGCTCCTCAAAGCAACGGTTTGGGGGCAGAGGCGTTAGGCAGTAGTGGCAGCTGGCCGGAAGTAGTTGCTCCTTAAAGCAGTGGTTGTGGTTGGGGGGCAGAGGCGTTAGCCAGCAGTGGCAGCTGGTCGGCAATGGTGGTGTCGCGTACGAACCACATGTGAGATTCCCCGGGCGGCACGAGGGTGTGGCAGAGCACGTTGACTGGGTTGACCACGCCCGCTAGGTGGAAGTGCCGCAACTCAGTCCCTGCGTTCAGCACCACGCCTCCTTTTTGAGGCTCGCGCGCCGCGTGCACGGACATCACCGACGTCTGGGGGGGGAGAGGGGCACAAAGGAGGGCAGAGCACGTTGACTGGGCTGGGTTGACCACGCCTGCCAGGTGGAAGTGCCGCAGCTCCCTCGCTGCGTTGAGCACCGTGCCGCCCTTCTGCGGCTCGCGTGCTGCATGCACGGACATGGCTGACGTCTGGGTGGGTGAGATGGGCACAGAAGTGTTGGGGGAAGGTGGTTGGGGGTACCGAGGAGGCCACAGCATCAGCTTGCGGTGCCCCCGCCAGTCCTCACACACCTCCGACTCAATCCCCTCCCGTGACCCTGTCCCTCTCTCTCCCCACTTCCCTCCCCTCCTCTCCCTTCCTTTCCTTTTCCCTCCCCATTTTCTCCCTTCCCTTCCCCCCTCACCTTCCTGGGGTTGACAATCAGCTTGCGGTGGTGCCCCCACCAGTCCTCACACCTCTGATGCGATCCGCTCGTTGCCCCGTCCACACGTCGCACCTCCTCTCTCGCCTTTCCATCCCTTCCCTCCCCTCCCCTTCCCTCCCCTCCCCTTCCCTCCCCTCCCCTTCCCTCCCCTCCCCTTCCCTCCCCTCCCCTTCCCTCCCCTCCCCTTCCCTCCCCTCCCCTTCCCTCCCCTCCCCTTCCCTCCCCTCCCCTTCCCTCCCTTCCCCTTCCCTCCCCTCCTCTTCCCTCCCCTCCTCCCCCCTCACCTTCCTGGGGTTGACAATCAGCTTGCGGTGGCCCCGCCAGTCCTCACACACGTCCGACTCAATCTCCTCTTGGGCCCCGTCCCGCACGCACCACACGTCCGGCCGCCGAAACACCACCCGCGAGATCACCTCAAACCCTCTCCTCCTGACTGCGGCCACCTCGAAGCCCCTCGTCAGGGCTTCGGAGGCTTCAAGGCCGCCTGGAGGGGCGTCAAACACCCGAGCATCATCCCACTCTGTCGCGGAGCCCCGGCTGCCGCTTCCTGTGGTGTCAAACGCTTGAATCTCCCCCCCCTCCCCTGCAGAAACACCCTCCCCTGCAGCCACAGCCCACCCCGCAGCAGCCTCCCCTGCAGCAGCACCCCTGGAAGGCCCCCCAGCGCAGACGGAGGGGTCCATGACAAGCGCCCCGTGGGAGAGCCATGGCGCGTGGCGGTGGGCGGCGAGGAGCGAAGGCAGGGAGTGCGGCGGCACGGGGGCGAGGAACTCGTCGGTGTCGTGCAGTGTGACCCAGCGGGAGGTGGCGAGCGAGCGGAATATGCAGTCGTTGGCCGCCAGGGTCTGATGGGGGTGGTAGGGTAGAGGGGGGCGTTGAAAGGCTGCTTGATCCAGCCAGTGCTTACCTCCGGTACGTATATTAAAAGGTACATATACTTAGACACAACTATGTACATACACACCTGGTGTTTGGAGATGAAGCTCAAGGGCCCCTCCCCAGCAAGGAACCCCAGGCGCTGCCCACCCGCCATGTCCGTGAGAGCAGCAACGCCCGCTGCGAAGTATGGCAGGAAGAGCGCGGTGAGCTGTGGCGTCCACGCGGCCATGTTGTAGAAGAGGAAGCGCTCAACTCCCGCCCGCACGCGGTGGTACTCCGCCCACACCCACACCACTCCAGGGTCGAGCGTGCCGTACAGCGGCTGTGAGCACCACGTGAGGTGGATGGGGAGTGAGTCGTCTGGAGGGGGCTCCAGAGGCTGCAGTCGGGAGGAGGGGGGAAGGGGGGAAGGGGGGAAGGGGGGAAGGGGGGGCGGGGAGTAGCAGGGACAGGGTACACTCGAGCGTGCCGTGGAGAGGCTGGGAGAACCAGGTGAGGTGCACGGGCAGTGAGTCGTCTGCAGGGGGCTCCACAGGCTGCAGTTGCGGGGAGGGGGGAAGGCAAGTGGTGGAAGAGGGCAGAGTCGACTGAAGAAGCGTGAGAGAAGAGTCATGCCAGGTGGCAGGCGGCGCTCTCTCCCCAACGCCCCCTCTACATTGTCTCACACTGCCCAATAGCACCTCCCTCGCATTTCACCTCCCCCACATCTCACCTCCCTCGCATCTCACCTCCCCCACATCTCACCTCCCCCGGCTCTTCATTGAAGACGGCAGCCTCCACGTCATCCATGATCATCGCCAGATAGCCGCCCGCCCGGGAGGTGTTGCCTGCCAGCTGGCAGAACGCTGCTAGCGAGTCAGTCTGCAAGGGGGACGGGGGATGGAGGCGAAGGAAGGAAGAAGGGGGGGGGGGGGGGGTATTGAGGAGACAGTGTGCTGCAAGCGAGTCAGCCTGAAACGAGGATGAGTGGAAAGGATTCTGGGAGGGTGGGTGTGGGAGCCACCGTGGCAGCAGGTGCAGGAGAGAAAGGAGGAAGCAGATAGAGAGGGTAAACCAATAGGGCGAACCAATGGCTCAAACAACACCCTTGCTACTGCTGTGTCCCAAGAGCCGCACCCGAGTCTTGGGCCGCATGAAGTCCCTGTACCGCACTGAACCGGTCACTGTGCTCCCGTCTCGGCCTACCCATCGGCAGCCCTCGCCCTCCTTCATCCACGTGAAATTGAGGCTGCTTATACCGAGTACCACGAAGCGGGAGGGGCTGGTGCGATAGGCGCTGGGGGGTTGAAGAGGGGCGGAGAAAGGGAGACAAAGTGTCACAAAGTGGAGGAGGAAAGGGCGGCAGAGGAAAGGGGAGTTAGGAGAGAGAGCAAGGAGGTTATTCGGAAGACACAGTATGACCTGCATAAAAGCTGGGTGCTTACATTGAAAGTGCGTGTAACGCTGAACCTGAACCGCATTGAAAGTATTGAATGTACACCGCAGTGAATACCACAGAACCGTAGGAGCACCTGATCTGGCACTGCAATCCAATAGCTACCTGAACTGGTAGAGGAAGCCTCTCTGCTGGTAGGTGCGCTGCTTCCACTGCTCCGCCTCCGCCTCAAGCACACTCGCCGTAATCACATCCGATTGGTTCCGCCTGTGCCTCACTTCCGTGCTCTCCGTGTAGCGCTGTTGAGAGCAGGGTGCACGCGCATGCACATGCATACCCGCACCCACACTCATGCACACACACACACGCACGCACGCACACATATGCACCCACACACATGCACGTAGCGGGAGGCAAGAGAATGCAGAGGGGGAGGAGAGAAGCGTGGGAGTAGGGGAGACGACCCATCTCCCTGGAGAGGGTCACCCACCCATAGTCGCCTCCGCCCCCATTAAGTCGTCAGCGGCTCACCCACCGATAGTTGCGCCAGCGTCAACACGTCACCCGCTCCTCCCGCCTGCTCCTCTGCGCCCCTCGTCCCTCCGCCATCTCCGCTAGTCCTCCCCACCCCGTTTGCTCCGCTCGCCCCTCCGCCGTTTCCTCCGCTCGCCCCTCCGCCGTTTGCTCCGCTCGACCCTCCGCCTCCTCCTTCCCCCCCCCCGCCCGCATCATACGCCGCTGCCACGGCGGCAGGTGCGACAGACGCATTGCACGCGCCTGCGGCGCTGATAGGTGCGGCTTGGCGCGCAGCGCCGGCGGCGTCGGAGGAGGAGGAGGAGGAGGAGGAGGCGGAGGAGCGAGAGGGGAGGAGCGGGGAGAGGAAAGGCGCCAACGTGCCTTGGAAGAGGGTCTGGTTGATACGGGGAGGGAGGAGCGGATAGGGCAAGGGGGAATTCGGATGCGGCCCAGAGAAGTTGTCTGAGTGCAGGTCGACGTGCGACGTGGGAAGATTCTGGAAAAAGGACCGGCGGTCACGAGCCGAGAAAGGCGTCATTCTGCGGTGAAACTTCTCAGAACCACTCTTTCAAGGGTGATGTCATGCGTTGCATGCATCCAATCACAACTCAGCATATGTATGTGCTAGTAGCTTGCCGCAGGATCTACCCCGCTGGGACCAGAACCTAGTCTGCGCCGACTGACGTCGTAGCACGCACCGCCGGTTCGCGGCGCGCACACCAACTCTACTTCTGCTGCTAGGACTCCTACCACGTACCGTGCACACTAGCAGCGTTATGAGCACGTACCGCGCACACTAGCAGCGTAATGAGCACATACCGCGCACACTAGCCGCGTTATGAGCACATACCGCGCACACTAGCAGAGTTATGTGCACGTACTGGCGCACACTAGCAGCGTAATGAGCACATACCGCGCACACTAGCCGCGTTATGAGCACGTACCGCGCACACTAGCAGAGTTATGTGCACGTACTGGCGCACACTAGCAGCGTAATGAGCACATACCGCGCACACTAGCCGCGTTATGAGCACGTACCGCGCACACTAGCAGAGTTATGTGCACGTACTGGCGCACACTAGCAGCGTTATGAGCACGTACCGCGCACACTAGCAGCGTTATGAGCACGTACCGCGCACACTAGCAGCGTTATGAGGGCGCCGAGCGTTGCTGTCACATGTAAGCCCCACGGGCGCGGCGAGCTCTTAAATAGCGGCCACGTCATCATCCTGCAGGCCTAGGTCCTGGCTTACCTCTCCCCCAGCTAAAGCTTTATCTGCAGAGCTTGATCGGTAAGCTTAATCTGCAGCGGCTGCCGATGCTAGTCCTTAGCGGCTCAGACCTGAGCCTCAGCTCTCAGGAGCTTTTAAAAGCGCTATGACAGTGTAGCGCGTCTTACTAGACACTATAGTTCATGGTTGTGTTCTCGTAAAAAAGGCTTGTCCGACTAGACTGACTTGACGAAGCTCGCATGACATGTGCTTCCAACACTGCCAGTGGCCAGATGTGCTCGCTAACAGGCCAGACTACCCTCAGGCGCTAGCTAGACGCCCAGCAGCAATCCTTTCCATTCCGTTTATTCCATTGTCCATCCTACCGGCCTTTGAGCCGTCTCGAAAATCGCCTCACTCCGTCGATTCTACCGGCGCAGCTAGATGATGACGGCACTAAGGAGTCGGGAACAGCACGTGCAAGAGGGGAGAGGGCGGGAAACGACAGGGACCAGGGAGGGCGACGCGTGGTCCGGCAGCACTAGATACTAACAGCGGAGCGGACCCGTGCGTGCGTGACATGGTCAAACAGGCCGCAAGATGCGCGTGCAACACCACACGTCACAAAAATGTGGATCTCTCCTATATTGTACGTATAGTTGTTCGTATAGCAAGGCTACTCCGTAGCAGACGTACCTATGCCGTACCCACTGTATACCTACTCCGTATTTCTGATCCTGGTATTTTGAGAGGCAACTAGCAGGAAGATCGTGCGAGTCGTGACGAGCATACCGGGTGTGGGGCGGTTTGGTGGGGAGTCGCTATGCCTCCGAAGGGTAGAGAGTCCCCACCAAAGGTCGCAAATCGAAGATGGGGAGAATGTGAGCTTGAGGGGGCAAGCAAATGTGTTTCATCAGTGGGTGCCGAGTCGCGATGTTGGCCCCACGATCGAAGCGCGTAAATTGAGGTTTCGTGATCGCTGATTTGTCGTTGGTGCACGCATGGCAAAAGTCACGAACACGGCGACGCATGTTCGTCGCAAGCTGGCTGCTTGGTTGGGAACACGCAACTGTAGTGTCCATGCTTCTAATCCCGAGTGAATTCCATAACAACCAGTTGGCCGATACATGTGCGTGCAAGTAGATGCTCAATCATCAATGAGAAACAAGAGAGCGGGATAGTTTGAACTAGGAGGATGAAGTGATAAAAGACCCATCCATTGTACAAGATGTGTGCATTAGCCCACATGCCTCACGGCTGTTGTGATAAAATCGTACTTTAGCATTTCTGCCCCCCCCTAACTTCCAGATGCTTTTGGACTTTTCTTTTCTTTTCTTTTCTTCTTCTTTCTTTCTTTCTTTTTTGGTTGGGCATCTATTCAATCGTGAATGCTTATCAATAAAGACACTATTCTCCATTAATGTCTTTCTCATTGTGTGTTGTAGGTACATCTTTGGGGAGTTCACCCAAGCAACAGCCACCTGGCTGCAAACACCCGCACGAGTCCGTTCCTGGGCATCAGTTGCGATGAGTCAACTGGCAGGTGCTGTGGAAAGCACCTGATTGTCGACACGACGTTTCTGCAAGAGGGGAGGATTGTGAGAGATTTTTGCTCTGCTGATGGTCGACAGGGCTGATGCTAATTCTCTTATTCAGCTACTGTTATTCCACCTGTCTGTAGTTGGCATGGACCTGATGCGCATGACAGGCATCAGCACTGACTAGCGTAGCAGTGATGCTGGGTCGCCGCAACGGAGTTGTCGCCCAAATCCGCACACGGAGTCCCCACCTCGTGTCATGCCATTGCATTGCACACAGGTAACACTGTTGCATTCGTTGAATGCAGGTTATTTATTATGTTGAGTGTTAACAACATGTTCTGTCAGTGCTGCAGGGAAGCACTCTCCTACACTATCTCTCCACTCTCCCACACTATCTCTACACATTCCCACGCTATCTCTCCACTCTCCCACACCATCTCTCCAGTCTCCCACACTATCTATCCACTCTCCTACACTATCTCTCAACTCCATGCAAAGCTAGTGTATATGTAGGGTACAACCGCAGACTCAGGAAGGGGGGCGGGGCCCAAGGCCGAGAAGGCGGAGGAGGGCAGAGTGCGTGGTTTTCGGGAGGGCCTTGGTGAAGATATCGGCCAAGTTGGCCTCTGCAGCGATCTTGCGGACCACCAAGTGACCTTCCTGGACCAACTCCCGAACGAAGAAGTAGCGGAGTTCAATGTGCTTGGAGCGGCCATGGAAGACAGGGTCCTTTGTGAGATGGATGGTGCTGGCGCTGTCGCACCAGAGAGTGGGACAACGCTGAGGAACACCGATCTCAGCAAGGAGGAAGGTGAGCCAGTGAGCCTCCTGAGCGGCCATGGTGCAAGCATAGAGCTCAGCCTCGCAGGCTGAGAGGGCAACGGAGGAGGAGCGAGTGGAGCGCCAGTTGATGAGGCCGCTGCCAAGGGTGAAGCAGTAGCCTTGAGAGGAACGGCGATCGGACTGGGAGTCAGCCCAGGAGGAGTCACTGAAGCCAGAGAAGAGGGGAGAAGAAGAGCCTCCGAGGGTGAGGACATAGTCCTTGGTACCACGGAGGTAGCGGAGTACCCGCTTCGCTGCAGCCCAGTGCTCATCAGTGTGGCGACCGGTACCGACGAAGCGAGCAAGAACACGGATGGGGTAGGCAAGGTCGGGGCGGGTGCACATCATAGCGTACATCAGCGAACCGACGAGCTCAGCGTAAGGATGGTCAGAGGAGGAGGGAGCAGGAGGAGGGGCAAGCTGGTGGTCGGTCTGCAGGGGAGTGGTAACCGACTTGGCCTGCACCATATCGACCCGCTGCAAGACTTGGACGATGTAGAAGGACTGAGAGAGGGTAATGGTGCGTGATGTGTGGTCCCGGGTGATGGTCATGCCCAGATAGTGCTGGAGCTCACCCAGGTCCTTGCACTTGAGGCGAGCATGCAGGGCGTCCTTCACTTGCTGCATGGCGACAGCACTGTAGTTAGCATCCGTAGAATGACGTCAGCAAATAGTATCAGAAAGAATAATTGAACTAGAATGTGTGAGTACAATGATATATAGACTAGGGTGTTGTACCCTTTAAGGTACAATCCAGTATAGTCTACAGTAATGACCTGAGTTACATTTGAC